CTTAACGCAATCATTGCGTAAACTACTATTGTATGTGTATTGTAATGGAACAAACTATTAAATAATAGAAAAGACTTTATTAATCAAGGTGATTGTTTCGCAGAACAGCTTCTGTCATGCAACATCAAACTAAAATAATACACTGCAACAAATACCTTGGAGCTAAAAAGATATATAAAAGCTTACAAAACATTAAGAATTAATAAAATTATAAAACAGCTTTAATACTAACGGTACAAGAATAGTAGAGGTTTACAATGTACCTTCATGTCTTTCTCTATGCCATCTGCAGACCTGAAAACTACAGCAGTTCATTGTACAATGTCGTACTAAAATAAGAGTACCTCTTCCCAATCTTAAGACCCGTTGTGGAAAGAAGAGGGAGTTTCCTATAGCGAGCACTACGTACTTTTACATTTGGGAAAACTGAAACAAAATTAATTAAGATCAGAGGTATGAAAAGATTGCGTTAATAAAAAAAGAAACACCATAGAAAACTGATTGAGTGCTAAACTACTTCAATCGTTCTTGAAAGAAAAGCCTTTACCTGAATTTTATAATCATTATGTAAGCTAAGGAACACCTACCCAGAAAACAAGTTTCTTAGACTAGGAGAAGTTTCTCTTAATAGGAAGCTATCTTCACTAAAAACAGTTTTATAAATAGTATCAATAATTAACCAACGTCAATTTTTGATGTGAGATTATGCAACCCTTTCTATTTATTCTCCACGGTTCTTATCTTGGATCCATAACAATGTGCAACTGACAATACATTTTGTAAACTTACACTTTCTGTGATTAACATTGATTTCCGCCAAGTATAGAGTGTGCAATTACCTCTGCAGTTGCACTTTAGAGTAGGTCTGTAACAATTAGTCTGTGTCCGTTCTATATCTAGAGCTGCGTCAATGAGGCAAATGCCAGTTCCGATAATCCACCTTGAACCCATGTTATGTTATGGTGCTCCGTCAGTCTGGTAAAGGCTACTCCAATGACACATATAGCCTAGACCTACCTACATGCTACACGATCCTACGTCATTGTCCATCGTGTCCACCCACGGAGTTCCGATTGCATCAGCGGTTCGAGATGTTCGACTATAGCCTGTTTAGAGGTCTTTGTCTTTTCGGAGGGTCGGAGGTAGGAGCAAATTCACTGAACCACTCTCGTGAATATTAAAATATTTTGGATGTGTAAACAAAATTGCATCTGTTCAAAGATGCATGGGGAGCGAAGTCTGGTGGTATAGCACGGGACTCCGGTCTCTAAGGTCTCGGGTTCAAATCCCACCAATCACCAATGGATTTTACTAAGTGATAATTCCGCGACCTTCTATACCTAGCCTAAATTAGTGTGTAGATTCTGAGTCAGAGCCCAGCTTCCCAGGATGTAAAGATGGGACATAAAACAAAAGAAAAGTACTATATATAGTCTGTATGATTTAACCTGTCTCCTGACTCTTTGTCTACTTAGGACTGGACCGGGACTTAAACCATTGGCCATTCCCTATGTAGACGGAAGGTAAGGCAGGTTCCATCATACAGGGTATAGATGCACAATTATTTGATGAGTCGGTGACTTGGTGGATAGCGCAACGGAATACGGATACAAGACATCTAGACATCGATGTCTACGGTTCGCTTCCCGGATTCACCAAATATTATCAGCACAGTTCAATCTAGTAGTCTTCCGACTCTCCCTTGCTTTGCTTCAGACCAGCATAGATAAGCTCTTGAGACAATGTACACTGACAAAAATAAATCTTTAAAAAAGAGACCACCGGCAACCATTAAAAAAATTTACAATCTTACACATTAATAGCGTACTCACAACTAAATTTGTTCCCTAATATTTACAACTGCACGAATCCTTCCAATTCCCGGTAGACGTCATATTAATTCCCTCGATTAACTTGCCGATATCTCGACCATTAAATCTTATGTTATAATGAAGAAGGAAAAACAACATAAAAATAGCACGAGTAAACCGAGCGAGACTGCGCCAGAACAGGTTTGGGTTGGGCGAGTGGAGAAGGAGGATCTTCGTACAGCGCCAGCAACTCAGGAAATCCCCAAGTTGCTCTTCAACAGAAGCGGGTCATGGCCGGACTTGATCTGAGAACTTCAGCATCCACTTCTGGGATATCCTTAGATCACTCGACTGTGGTCTGTATTTAGATTTGATATCTTTAGCTCCACCGATTCCTGGAACTTGCAAAACTGTGAGAGGTTCACGGGGTCAATGGATGTAGTAGATGTTGTGGCATTCTAGACATGGACTAACCAACACAAGTAGACTTCTCATCCCATTGTAAATTTGATGCTCGTTTTTCGTGTCTAGTTATGTCCGGTGACTCTGGTGGCTATCGTCAACAAAATTTTGTTTCTATTATTTTAGAGTTCATGATTTGTGCTTTAATGTCTGGTTACATTACAAGAGGATGAGTTATTGATTATAATTATGTTGTTTTATTTGGTTAAACAGTTTTTTAAATGACTGAAATAACAAGAAACAAATTGTAAACAAAACACGACCTCTACAGTACACCGGACGGAACTAACGATAAAATTGGCTTCAGCTGTTCCATAAGGATGGGAAATCTACTAAGGGAGTACGTTTTAGGTGGTTTTATCTATGGTAGTATCCAAGAGGACACATTTTGGGGAGTTTCTAAAATAGTGGAAGGGAAAAGGAAGAATTTACAGATAAAATATCCACTGGAAACAATTTTTATAACTGTATGTGTGTTTTAAAATATATCAGGAAACAATAATATCGCAGAATAAAAATCGCCTTATTCATCGAAATAGTTGATTCATTTATCACATCACCTTACATTTAAATACGAGAGAACTATTTCCTAACAATAGTTTTCACCAGTTTTAACGAGCAAGTAATTCCAGATCATACTTTACATTGACTATTTAACTTCATTTATTGTTTATAAAAATAACCGATATACAGAACGTAAAATTTCAGTCAGAAGAAATTAGGCGATGAAAGAAAAGAAATGTATCGATCTTTGATAATTGCTGCATTTTTTAATAGAAGTGGTAAAATAAAATTTTCAGGCAGTTATTATCTTTTATGTAAATCATATAAATTTTAAATACATTAGTTCAACATTTCAGAGTTGTTATACAGGGTGTCCCGTAACTCTCTGGACACTTGTATATAGCGTTATTCCTTAGGTCAAGACAAACACATTTCACCATAGGAACATGGGTCTGTGGTGTCTAGTTTACCAACTGTCGGTATTTATGAGTTTTTTACAAAAAACCTAATAACTCCTAAACGGTTTAAGATACAGATTTGATATTTTGCAAAAATGTTAATCTTATCAAGACCTATTATCGTTAGAAACTGTACTAAAAAATCATTAACCGTTTCAAAATGGTGGCCATTTAAAATATTTGATGCCAAATTTCACGAAACCGTTAACTTTACAAAAAAATTGCAAGAGACAAAAAAGTTTGTAAATTTTATATAGTTTTCAATGATACCTTATTTGTTAAGATTGGATAAATAACAACAGAGAAACGTGTTGTTTTCGTAATGTATGACCACTTTTCTCCATTTAAACAATGCTAAACAACGTAAAAGGAGTATTAGCATTGTTTAAATGGAGAAAAGTGGTCATAAATATAAATACCGACAGTCGGTAAACTAGACACCACAGACCCATGTTCCTATGGTGAAATGTGTTTGTCTTGACCTAAGGAATAACGCTATATACAAGTGTCCAGAGAGTTACAGGACACCCTGTATAATTATTTAACACACTTTATATTTTAACACAACTTCAAACATACAATTTCATTTTTGATGTTAGCCTCCGGATTACGTTGAATATACAAATTGGTTTAAATACTTGTTTCTATCTAATACAATAGTTGCAAGGTCACGCAACTAGTTTCAACTTCATGAAGAAGTCGTCTTCAGGCGTCCAGAGGATGTCAACAAGAAGGAGGTATTTAAAACAATTTATACAAACTTACACTTAAGAAAAATGTACTGGGGATGAATACAGTAATTTATAACCTATGGTAGATGGTTTCGTCTTGACGAAACTGCAATGATGAATTTATTATTGTGATAGATAATGTGGTCTGAAGATGAACTGTGTTTGAAAGTGAGCTACAATAGTCTAATGTATTGCTAATAAACAGTTCGGCAAAGATAACTTTATTTAACACTAGCACGAGTACACAATATTGAAAAAAAGGGAACAAAACACATAAAATGTTCTAATTGTAGAACATATCTGGGCTGTACAAGCTTTTATTTTAAATAACTTGAATGTGTAATAAGTGTCAAAACTGTCAGAATTTTATACAAATCAACACATTGCTGTATTTGAGTAAAAAGAGAAAGAAGGAAAATTATAACAGTTAATTATAACTTTTCTCCATAAAATTGAATGTTAAATTGCTGTGCTTTCATAATAAATATCTCATAAATTTATCAAACACTCGTTATATTTAATTCAAGATATACTATGGTGAACTATAGTTTTGAGTACCAAGGTGTTAAAATGTACAATTTCTTGTCTGCATCCATCAAAAACCTGTGTGTTTTAAAATTCAAACATGCTATAAAAACTACTCTAACCCAGGCTTGCCTGTATAAACATGAAGAGTACTTTGGTTTAGAGTTTTAGATATTTTAGTTGCCAGAGCCATCTTGATTGTTTTGTTTTTATTTTGACGATTGTCATGAACTTTGTACATAGTTTTAACGACAATAAATCATTTCATTTCATTGCTATACAGGAACCATAGCGAGCTGGTAGTAGAACGCGGGACTTCTGTCCCAAGGTCTCGGGTTCAAACACCGTCAATCACAACCTACAACAAGTGATAAGAATCGAGCAGTCGAGCCTAGCGTCCAAGACGTGAAAAAACAACTTTCAGTTCTACAATAATGGCAAAACACTTATGAAACCATTCTTTTGCACTGTTTATTTTGATTTCAACCGGTTTAAAAATAAACCAGTAACGCTCACGGTAGTTGATGAATTCTGCTCCAGGACGGTCTCCGCCCCCTTGGCTACAGAAGGGGGGCCAGGGGGTTCGCGGTGAGTCAGAAGTCCTGGAGGCCGTCTTTCAACTTATAAAGCTCTACCGGTGTCTTCCTCCTTCAGTCCCAATCCATCCGCAGTCCAAGTAAGTACGCAACTAGACCAGTAACTAGTGTATACTCGTAGCGCTATTTTTTAATAACAATATTTTTGAAGCAGTTATTTTTTTAGGTTACAAATATTTTTTAGAATGTATACCTGAGTTAGTATTTAAGAAACGAGGTGGTAAACATGCTTAAACTCTTAAACCCTTCTTAAATTTCGAACGGCAAAAAATATTTAGTTTATTAAAAAAATATAAAGAAATAAGTCTGATGCATTTGGTCACTAATGCAGCCAATTCCTAAATGGATAATCTAAATAAACGTACAGCTTATCCAGTATAGTTTCCTAGGCTATGATATTAATTCGCCACATTAAGTTAGCTACATTACTAATTTACCAAAATATGTTTATTATGATTTTAATTTCTCGTATGTTTTTGGACTATCCAGTTTTTCATAGATAATTTTATCTGGATGGAATAATATGGACTGCATACTTAGCTTATTTAATCAGTTATTAATTCATCCCTGCTAAATGCATTTTTATGTATAAAGAGAAGTTACAAAGTAGAAACTATCTAAATTTGTAAGTGGTTTAACGGAGTAACGTATTAAAGATTCCATAGCAGTTAACTGAAATTATATAACCTCCTGGGACCCAACCGCCTTATACAATGACACAATTACTTACTTGATATAGCCCTGTGAATTGTAATGTGTTTTGTAGGTGACTGCCTAATGTCCTTCTATAAGCACCTTTAACGTACCCCCTGTAGAATCCTGAGATTTTTTTTTGCTACTGGTTCAGATTTGACTGTGTAACCTTGCTTACTTTAAAGCATAATTAAGTGGAAAAATCATTAAAAAAATATTATCACTAGGTTTCTATGGTTTTTTAATGTCCTTATAGAAGGACATACGGTTTCTATCCACTTAAGGCCCTGAAATACAATAAAGAAACTTTACCACAGAAAACTGTTTTGTAGGTGCTATTAGGTAGGAAAAAAAATCTAAATAGTATTTAATAATACATTTTAATTATAGGCTACAAAAACTCACAAAGTTTAGTCAGTATGATAAAACGATTTTACCAAATGGCCTATTGAAGTAATAAACTGTTTCAATCTAAAAGGAGTAAACTATAAGAAATAATAAAAGATAAATAGAATAATATATGAATAAAATATAGGCCTTATGTAGTATAAAACTTTAAACTGGCTGACCCGTATTTCGTACGAAACTTGACTGAATCTACTTTGAGTGGAAGGATGAGAAACAGTTTCGGTTTCCCATTAGACAAAGGTAAACATTACACTTAATACAGAACACTGATGTTTTCTTTCCACAGTTCTTTCTGCGACATCTTTTTTGCACTCCAGTTGTTACTTGTGGGAGGTGGATGGCGCCTCTTGTTCGTACTTCGATGGAAGGTGTTGCTACCTTTCTTCCATCCCCGACATCATGGACAGCGTCACATTCTTCAAGTTCAGATCCACAACTTTCGTTATCATCCTGAAGGTTTTGTTCGATCAGGCGTACACCAAATGCCAGTTTAAAAGCTCTGAATTGGGGGATGTCTTTTGGGCGGACATTTTGACTTCTCTTGAACTCTCTCATCTGCAGCCATGCATTAGACATTGCAAGGTCAAAAAAGTGCATTATGCACCTTATAGTCCACTTTTTAGTTTTGGAGCGGTTAGGGCAGTACGACATGATTCTGTCCGCCAGGTCAACTCCCCCCATATTCTTGTTATAGGAATTTATCACTGCCGGTTGACTTACAGTGATATATTTCTTTTCCTTTTTGTTCCACCTTTTTACCTGATGTTGTGGTTCTTTGCTTTCACTGGTTGACAGCATAGATACTGGCTTGTTATCCAGCCACTTAGTGACTGCCATTTTACCATCTTCCCGTACAGACACTTGACTGGAACCCCTTTCACTTTTCTTAAATTCCTTATCTGGGACCAAATCTGTATTTTTTGGTACTCTATTTTTCATTATGGTACCAGAACATCGAATACCTTGGTCAAGCAATGCATCTGCTAACTTTGTAGTAGTGAAGTAGCGATCAAAATACAAAGTATGGCCAGGAACTAATGAGCGAGATAAATACATCACTGCTGCTTCCCCAAGAGAAAATCCTTGGCTTGTTTCTTCAGGAAAAGTATTTTTTCCTTGATAAATTTTAAAATCGCAGATCACCCCATTTGGGTTTGCCAAAACAAACACTTTAAGTCCAACTGGGTTTGGCTTATTGGGGACGTACTGTTTCAGTGCACACGTACCTTGAAATGGCACCATCATTTCATCAACGCACAACTCTTTTTGCCGTGGTTGATTCATACAGCCTTGGAGAACTCTATCTAGTACTGGCCTTACTTTCCAAAGACGGTTAGTTTTTTTCTCTTCATCTGAGAAATCATTGTCAAAAACAACCTTCAGTGATGTACGAATCGCATAGAATCTATCACGGGTCATTGCACTGGCTAAACAAGGGATCCTGAATCGTTTTTCCCAGTACATTCTAATCTGCGGAAAGTTTAGGGCTGACATCACACAGTTCATGCCAATCCAGATTTTAAGCTCCTGTAACGTCAATTTTAAGCTTTTACCTGTTATGTGAATTGAAGTTTGATTTGTCTTTAAAACCATCAAATCCAAGAGTTCATCATCAAAGTACTGATAAACAAATGTATCATCGTCCCACGAGTCATCACATTCTTCTTTCTTGTAGCTTGGCTCCATCAATTTGATTTCTTCAGGTTTAAATGATTTAGCAGTCCACTTTGGTCCAGGATCAGCCGGCTTCACAGTAGCAGTTTTCTTCTTTTTTTTGCCACTAGCATTTTGTCCATAATTTTTTGTATCCCGCTGTAAAAAAAGAATTATTTTAGGATTGATATATTAAATGTATTATTCTGAAAAAAGGTTTCGAGTTTTCACGAAAGTTTTCATGTTTAAATTTAACTAGTTACTCATCACAAGAAACAAAAAGTTGTTAATTTTACCACATAGTTAATGACTGCCCTCTGAGCGCTTTCCCTGAAGGTATACTTACATTTTGGCCTTGAAGGTACTACTAAAGTAGTAGAAAATATAAACTTTAAAACGCATTTTTGCCATTTTCAGGAGAATTCTCTTAAAAAAATATATTTACTTTGGGTTGGTTGATGCACAAAATTACTATAGTTTAAATTCTTACCTTTCGCTTGGGTTTAGCTGATTCATCCGCACATTCGGAATCTGAACTAGGGATATCTTCTAAATCTGGATTATAATCCGGATCTTCATCCGTATCATCATCACAGTCTCCTAATAACTCTTCTAGACTTAGACCCATGTTTCGTGGCCCTCTTGGATGTGGCATCATATCTGGCTCGTCATCTCCTATATCTTCAAAATCTGACTGATCTAGATCCAAATCTCCAACCAACTCATTGAGGGCTTGATCTACTTCCTCGTCATTCACTGTAATACAAACACAATTGTTTAGTGCTTACAGCAAAAGTGGAAACCAAGGCTTTTGTAGATAAAATAAATAACATTACTAAAACAACACTTGACCTATGTACAAAACCAACGTCCTTTTAAAATCCCATTTAAAAATAAGACTATAGGATGTAGGGCCCGAATGTCCTTTTATAAACCAGACCAAAAAATGGGATGTTTGTGATAAAGACCTGATGTCCTTCTAAAAGGACATGTACATTTAAGAACGAATAATAACTTAAATAATGCATCTGGATAGAAAATTATTTAATAAATAGTCAGTCAAACCATTACACTTCATGATTATAACACTCAAATCAACATTGGTATAAATTAAATAAGTACTTACGGCAATTAAATCTTAGGTCTTCATGAGTCCTTCTACTCGCCATCTTGTTTTCACTCAGACAAAGAGAGCAGAGAGCTCTGGTGGCAATTGGTGAAACTACATCAACAGCAAAAATCATACTATAGCCAGTGTTGCCAAAAGCGAGTGGTCCAGAAAGTAAAATTTCCCTTGGCTGATTTTTAAAAACTGTGGCATTATATAAGTACGTTCGGCAACTGCGCATTAAATATTCTAAAATAATTCAGTTCTTAGGCAAGTAATGATATTATGTCTTATATAAGGACATTAGGTATTTAGTGTTAAAATGAAATAAAAATTACAGGACTCAGGAGGGTATGCTAAAAGTAATGGTGTTGTTTACTAAATATTATTAACCGGCTCATGTTAGTTAAGTTATATTAAGTTAGTTTAGTCAAGTTGTTTATCTGTTCATACAATTGACAGGGTCATCCGATTAACCATACAAAAGTAAAATGGTAGTTCTCCAACAGTGTTTACCTATAAAGTAAGGATGAAGTTGTTGATTATTGATGCTATGTTGAAACTAAAAACCTGTTAATCGTGAAGGTCAACTGAATCATCAAACGATTAATTGATAGCTCATCAAAGATTCCACTCGGGAACAGTATGTGTATGAAGATTATTTGCATAACTTTCCTCGTGTAAGAAACTTGTGGTATCTAATTCTAACCCCGGAACCAATACTTCATTTGACGTGCCGGGACCCTGAACTCGATTCGGTTTTTCTCATGAGTTCTGATAACCATTGCATGCAGGTCCGATTTTGATATAGTTTGAACGAATATACAAATGTGTCTGAAAGAGGGGTTGTTTGGGGAGAAAGGTGTGTAACCCCCCCCCCCCAAATATTTTGCACCACAGGATTTAAAGAGTTTGAACAATTTTTTTCTTCAAGTTAACACTTAACAACGTTTGCTGATTTTGACTTTAACATTATAAAATTAGGTATTCAAATCCAAGCGATTAATATTTCAAATCACCCTTTTGTATTTACTTGTATGTATTATTTGTGTATTTATGGAGGTATTTACTTGGATGTCCGTTTGTATTCAGATATTTAATATAAACTACTAAAATACCTATCAGGTTTATTTAAATATCGTGAGTTAAAAAAGTCAAATTTTAGCCAATAACGAACTATGAGTTTTATCAACGTCTATGAGGCTTGGTGTCACTGAAGTTGCTATTATTGTTTACCTTGTAAAATGCTTAAAGGGAAAATTATATTGAATAAATAGTATATGGGCGAAATATTTCACTGTCGTTAGTTTTATGGATTAGTAATGAAAAAATAGAGTGTTTGAATCGTGTTTTGAGGTAAAAAAATTAATTAATGCGTGAGGTTAACGGGTTAGTTCCACTATAGCCTCCCACCCTACATTCATTAGCCTCCCAAAAGACCTACTTTTGTACACAGAAGTATTCATTTGTTGTCAAATTGTTAAGCAAACAGGTAAATTATTTATGGAACCAGCGTTCTAAGAGTCTATTAATTTGTTGCAGAATGAAGACTGCGACGTGTTGGGTCTTTTGTCTGTGGGTAGCGGTCACAACAGTGGCCAGCCAGTACGCCGCTCCGTCTGCCAAGGGGAAGAAACATCGAACGACGACGACAACCACGGAGAATCCTTCCATCGGCAACGAGATAGCCGGACCATTCCCATTCCCGGACGCGGAGACAAGTGGCGCCACTCCGGGAGCGTCTCCGTACTCCAACCCTGCTGCTCCCAACCAGCCAGCTCCGGGGTACCCTAATCCTGGAGCCCCCAACCAGCCGGCTCCGGGGTACCCTAATCCTGGAGCCCCCAACCAGCCGGCTCCGGGGTACCCTAATCCTGGAGCCCCCAACCAGCCTGGCACGGGGTACCCTAATCCTGGAGCCCCCAACCAGCCAGCTCCGGGGTACCCTAATCCTGGAGCCCCCAACCAGCCAGCTCCGGGGTACCCTAATCCTGCAGCCCCCAACCAGCCGGGTCCAGGGGCTCCTAGTGGCGGATACTGGTGGGCCGGCCCCAACTCTCCATTCAAGCCAGGTGCACAAAGTCCATCAGGAGGATGTTACGGTGGCGGTTGCGGTGGTAGTCCTCCACCACCTCCTCCCCCACCCTCGGGAGGATGTGCAGGACCCAGTGGCTGCGCTCCTGTCCCCCCTCCACCACCACCACCACCGTCATCAGGATGCGGAGGTCCAGGAGGTTGCACCGGTGCAGGGAACAGTCCCTACCAGCCACCTTCTAACTCACCTGTAAAACCAATAGATATAGAAAACAACCCTTTCCTAAGCTCTGCCATTCTTGGAAAACCAGTTTCCTCAAATCCTCAAGGATGTCAAGGAGGTGGTTGTGGTGTTGGCCCCACTCCAGGGACTTACCCAGGCGCCGGCCCATCCCAATACCCAGGAGGACCCGGTCCAAATAAACCTGCTGGGCAATACCCCGGACAGCCTTCAGGCCAATATCCTTCACAACCATCAGGTCAATACCCCGGACAAAATCCAGGACAATACCCTACTCAGCCAACTGGGCAGTACCCAGGGGGGCCCGGCAGTCCGAATAAACCTGCTGGACAATATCCTGGGCAGCCTTCCGGACAGAACCCAGGACAGTTTCCTACCCAGCCAACGAATCAGTTCCCAGGAGGACCTAACAGTCCCAATAAACCTGCAGGACAATACCCCGGACAACCTTCAGGTCAATACCCCGGACAGCCTTCTGGACAAAATCCAGGACAGTTCCCTACCCAGCCAACGGGGCAGTACCCTTCGAAACCCTCAGGGCAATATCCTAATCAACCCTCAGGCCAAAATCCAGGACAATACCCAGGACAACCTTCCGGACAATACCCTACTCAGCCAACGGGTCAGTACCCAGGAGGACCCAGCAAACCTACAGGACAGTATCCTGGACAGCCTTCAGGACCTGAGGACAACTTTATCTATCCTGGACAGAAGCAGCAGCCTGGTCCTACCAATGTTCCTCTGAGGCCCCAGTGCGCCGCCCAAGGACACGCCTGTGTTCCTGCCCAGATGTGTGTCGGAGGAGTCATCACTTCCACTGGCATGACGCAGATCAGAGATGCTAAGGTGAGAATACTTACACCTAATTATGACGTGATAAAGAACAGTTTTACCAAGTGCAGTAAGATCTTAAAATGCAATATTAATGAAAACTCTATTTGACAAAAAAACATTTTGTAGCACTCTCTACAAACATTATAGAACTTTTGTTAGGTTATTCCTTTCATATTGGGTTAAGAACAAATATTCTGGATTCAGGATCAATTCTTAAACAGACTCACGTCAAGATTCAAATAAAGTAAATTTGATGAATTAAAAAAACTTTACTCGTGTACTAGTACTACCATAGTATTAAGTATCTAAAGAAGGAGGGTCTTCAACACGATGATTTCTTATATTGTTGCACTTAATGAGGTAACACAAAAATGCTAAATAATATAGTACTCGTACGATGTTGTATAAAATTAAAATGTTTGTAATAGGTGTTCTTAGTTTATTTATAACTATTAACGTTGCTATCTTAAACTGGTAAACCTCCACCAGACTTGAATTACTTATTTATTTATTATTTACTTATTTATTTCAACAGCGATTAAAGAATACGTGATAAAGTATGGATAAACTACCCAATTGTCAGGAAGCACCCAGATAACATATAACTCGATTTACTTACTTTTCATATTTTACTCATACAACAATTATCAGGTTAAATTATTTTGCAACGATGTAAATGCATTTTGAACGGTTGATTCCACCATTTTAAAATTTAACGCTGTGCAATAAAATACCGTTTCCTAATATATTGTGAAAAAATTGTAGCACTAAACCAAATTCGATTTACCTAATTAAAAAAAAGTTGGATGCCTTAGGTTCAGAATATTGTCGAAAAGACCTATTAGCCAACATCACCTCAGCCAATTGTTGCATTAAATCCGCAACATGACGAAGAAGTTCAAGGTAAAGTCTCCCACCAGGGCCGAACTTGGCTAATGTGTTCTTAACCTACGAGGACAATCCTAAGTTCCGGGCCTTCGTCATCATGTCTCAACAATGGCCTTCTGGTCTGTCCACACTATATCAGTCCATGATGCGTTATCGTAAACACCTTCATGTTAGTCATAACGATCAGCTGTTGACTTTGATTCCCGTTAACAATCACGACAATGGAGACATTGACTTAACCAGCTTACGTGAGATGATTACACTCCCATAAATTCATTCGATTAGTCGATTACAATCCCATAAATTCATTAGAAACAAGTGGTAATTTGTACTCGCTTTTTGCACTTGACAATAAAGTCCTTTGACAGTAACAATACCATATTTCTCAGTTGCTATTGAATCTATTTATGTCACAATTACCAGCTACGGAGAAGTTAACTCTACTCACATTCATGTTGGCGCACTGGGTGGGATTGGGTCTCAAAATCGAAGAACATAAATTTCTTATATTGTATACTAAAATCAGCTGAAAGTATTTTCCATCTTGTATTACATCCGAACAGCTGTTTCTGTCATTTAAATGCAACATGTATTACTCCGCCGACAATATGATAAATTCAAATGCCTTACATATTTTATATTTCAAATTATCTAAATTTCCACATTGTTGTGAAATATGGACTAATTTGTGGAACGATCATGAACACAGAACAATCTTAGTAACGAAACTATCATACTTTGGTGCTATTTTCTTCGGCAAAACAGTGGATTAATCTATAAGTCAAAACTGATGTTCAGGAAATAATCTAAAAGCTGATGATTCTTTTTCCCCTTAGGGAGAATACAAGCTACCGTACTTTAGACCCACAACGCATATGTATGAAACAACGGGGTTTTCTCGGTAAAATGCTTACGCGCACATAAACGTTAACGTTAATTCTGTTCATTTAACTGCGCTAGTTTTGAAGCCAATTAAGTTAGTATTTGTTTTAAAATATTGCATTTAATAACATTAAAAATTTATCACACCAATTAAATTATATTTTTAACGTGGTTCTCAAAATTATGCAAAAGTAATGTTTGCACACCAATTTAGATTTAAATCAAAAACAACTTTTTCCCCCGGTTATGTTAAATTGTTTAGTCTGTTGGTTACCATGATTACCTATGTGTTCACGCGAAATGCATCTTTAATGTAGTGTTATTCCTACGGAAGGGATAGACTCGTTTGTCGACATACAAAATTTGATGAAATTTGGTACATTAAGTATTTCACGAGAGGAAATTCGTATTTTGCTAAAATAATACCACATGTTTGTCTCCACCTTGAGCATGCGTACTCCATATACAGGGTGTCCCATAAGTAAACAGTCAAACTCTGGGAAGTGGTTTTATAGGCCGAAATAAAACGAAAATCCAGAAAAAAATGTTTGTTTAATGCCTGGTTAGTGAGATGCGATTTTGGGTTTAAGTATTTAAAATTTATATTTCTAAAGATACTAAAGATATGTTAATGAAATGTGGTATAGGCAAACAATTTAGCAATACACTGCCTGCGAAAAAATCATAAGACAATTTTTTCCAAAATAGCATCTGGAAAACATTTTATTCTTGATTTTCGTTTTATTTTGGCATATAATACAATTCCCCAGAGATTGGTTGTTTCTCAGAGACACCCTGTGTGAAGCCATTCGTTGTAGCTCTATTAGGTGATTATTTAGAGCTTTATTAGAAGACAAGTTACGTACAACCATTTCCGTATAGGCTATTAGAAGTTCAACAAAAAAGGACCCTATAAATTAAAAAAAAAACCTAACCTTTCTTGGTGATTTTGAACCGTCAAGATGTCCAGTAGACGATTATCATCGCCACTAGGCTACATTTGCAGACTTTTTAAGCTTTCTTTCCTATTTAGTCATGTCAAAAAAAGGAACTAAACATTTTAACACCAAATCTTGTTAGTTGACCAAATGCAGTAGGAGCGTAGTGTGCGTGTGAAGTCAGTGTGGGCAGTTGGTCTGAAGGTCATCTTGACCCTGAACCCTGCGTATCCTCTTCTCTTTTCCCCGATGACTAGAGAACGTTTGGATGATTTATGAAGTTTAAGGATAATTGGCAACCCTTTGTATTGGCTTCAATGTTGTCGATATTTCATAAACGAGGTCAAAGTTCACATATGCAGCTATTGGACAAAGCATTTTTCGTGAAAGATGAGAGTAGATTTTTTGTAACAACATTTGTGATTTTGCAACTTTAAATGTCGTGCGTGATAATACGATATGTAAACCTGTTTAAGAAATGTTTAGGCTGAACTATTTTTTTTTTATTTTTGAAGATGGTAGTTGATTTTCTTTTCCATACAAATGTGATAAGATATTTTGTAAATAGGTTTAAGAAACCTTCTCACGACAATCGGCACTTTTTTCATCTAGTAGATGTAGCAGATTTTTTAAAGTAAATATATTATTAAAATATACTTAAACCTATTTGTAGACGGAGGGTGTGAAATCGGTTCTACAATGCAAATACAAATCAATCATTTTGAACAAAGTTGTAAATATTGTTCTACATTTTTGGGTTTAGTTAGCACAGTAGCTTTTAAAGTATTTAGCCTACCAACACCTATTTATTTATTCCAACGGGAAACCCATTACTTGATAAGTGTCGTTATTTCTCACAAATGTATTTTCATCTTTTCTGTTAAGTTTGGTAACATTTTGAAACATAAAACCTCTTTCTTAGTCAATCATTACATTACTGTTCCTAAATTTCCGCATGTCTGTAAAATCATCCTAATTATTTTTGTACAGGATTTACCCTTAGATAGAAGTTGTGTGCAAAAATTCTAAATAACTTTTACCTATAGCATAAACATGTAAAAAAAACCCTTTTTTCCTAAAGGAAACTTAGTTTTAAACTATATAGTTATATTATTTCATATAATATAGTGAAATATTAATCTCAATTTATGAACGGTAGCACACATAGTTAATACTCAGCACTATCATTGACTCTATATACACTCTAGGTCGGCCAGCTTCTAGAGAATAAAATAAACAAGCGGTTCTCAACCTGGGATTTTAGGGGGGCTTGGACACTCCTAGAAAAATAGTTTATAAAAAAAATGGGATTGTACTGTACAAAAACTTTAAAATTTAATCATGTTACCTTATTGGAAATAACAGAAAGGGGGATTATATTGCAGAAATCAAATGTTATATATGAGATTAAAATTGGGTGGGGGGATAGGTTATGTGAGAAAATGTAGGATATGTAGTATTCTAAGGAAGGCGACTATATAGGATATGAATGACTCATTAATCATATTTTTTCTAGATGGCATCATTAAATAATACAGGTTAACCTCGATAACAAAACCCTTGATAGTAAGTCACCCATAATAATAACTGTAATTTTAAAAACTCATAGAATTTATTTTACCTTTAATCACATGTTATTGCTAACCTCAATAAGTCAACATTGATAACAACGCTTATTAACCATCCCCATGAAAGTATTATTATCGAAGGTTCTATTGTATATGCCATTAAGTAATACATATTGACCATTTCAAAGTTGTAAAATGTTACTTTTGTTCTCTTGACAGATCAAGGAGTGTATTCCAGGTTTGGAGGCTTGTTGTAGAATTCCATCCAAAGCCCCCTTCCCCGGCCCTGGCGCGGTCACTCCAGGTAAGTCGTCGTAAAAATATGAATCATTTTATTATTTGAAAACTACATACTGTAAAATTATGTCATGCTTACAAAGAATCCAAATAATAGATTAGATTACCCTCCTTTGGTCTACCTTCATGCATCGAGGGCTTCTGGGTTTTTGGATTTATAAGCTGCAGTGATCTAGTTTGATCAGTTTTAGAAGTGAAGAAGACCATCCACACCTTTCTTTCCTCACCAGTATTCTGTGGAACCTCACCACAATGAAATGTACAATGAATTTCCAAGTCAAAAAAATCAATTTCAGTCAAAAAATTCCTCAGGAGGATTTTGCATTGAATGGTTGTATTTGGTTGACAATTTCAAAGATAGATTTGTCAATACAAGTGGCGAACAGGATGCACACAAGAACCTTTACCCCTCACTTATCTGTCACACTTAACAATCACTTTTGTTGTTTTGTAGTCATTATAGCAATTAATTGAGATGTATAAATTTTATACCACTAGTCCCTATAGGTGTGACTCTTAGTGTTGTTAAGAGCATTTCCCTCATCCCTCGCACATGCAATTCTGACACAATCTTTATCCTAAAATTGATTTAAGTTGTTTATAGACAGTAAAGGTTTGTATGTTACAATTTGTGATGATTGTCTAGGATATGGAAGACCCACAACACAGCAGCCCTACACAGGACCTCTAAACACAACGCCGTACCCAGGATGTGCCGCGGCCCTCAAGTGTGTTCCCGAGAACTACTGTACAGCTGACGGAGTAATGAGCGACTCACCAGTCGTACTGACACGAGAACAGCTCGACAACAAAGTGCCACTCAGCGTAAGTAACACACCCTTAATTGGAAATAGCTCCAGAGATTTGTACCATTAAATGAGGGTCTGAGTGAAGTGCACGAACCGAATGGTATAAGGAGTGAAAGAATTCCTAGCTACTTTTCTTTGAAACTTTAGAACTTTTGGGAACAAAAGCTACTTCAATCTTGGATGAAACATTGATACAACTGCTTGGTTTTTATATCATAATTAATTATGTCTGTAAATAATTTTACTGTTTTGTACTCACTATGAGTCCAGATCAGCATTCCTCAAGTTTGATGAGTCATTTATGTTGTTTCAGGAATGTTTTAACATGGAGACTGGTGTGATCGGTAAATGTTGCAAAGACCCCAACTACAAGGACCCTTGGCCAGGTGGTATGATGATGGGAACAGCGATGTTACAGCCGGGGGACTATGACGATGGCCAGTACCACGGAGAAGGGTCTGGGCCGTACTACAACAGTATATCTCCCACTCCTCAGACCCCCAGTAAGGATCACGGACCCAAGCCTTCTGACAGACCGGGTGGATTTAACAAACCTCTCCCTCCATTCCCTGGTAACACTCCCAGTGGCTCGCCTTACTCCCCTAAACCCAGCCCGACTGGTCAATACCAACCTAATCAACCAAACCCATCCAGCCCATACCAACCCAGCCCAACTGGTTCATACCAACCCAATCAACCAAACCCGTCCAGCCCATACCAGCCCGGTCAGCCCAGCCCTACTGGTTCTTACCAACCCAATCAACCAAATCCGTCAAGCCCATACCAGCCCGGTCAGCCCAGCCCTACTGGTTCTTACCAACCCAATCAACCAAATCCGTCAAGCCCATACCAGCCCGGTCAGCCCAGCCCTACTGGTTCTTACCAACCCAATCAACCAAATCCGTCAAGCCCATACCAGCCCGGTCAGCCAAGCCCTACTGGTTCTTACCAACCTAATCAACCAAACCCGTCAAGCCCATACCAGCCCGGTCAGCCAAGCCCTACTGGTTCTTACCAACCTAATCAACCAAACCCGTCAAGCCCATACCAGCCCGGTCAACCAAACCCATCCAGCCCATACCAACCTAGCCCAACTGGTCAATACCAACCCAACCAGCCAAACCCGTCAAGCCCATACCCATCCGATCTACCCACTCCTGCAGCACCATCATATCAGCCAGACCAATCAGGATCTTCCATCCCAACCCATCCTGGACACCAGGACTCATCTCCAGACCAGGGCCCTGCTCCGGGATCTTCTTGTGGAATCAGGAGACCAGTAAGTTTATGTTTGGATTTGATTTGTTTAGGGTTGTTAAACGATGCAGTCACAAATAACATAGTGTATGTTTAAGATCCCTTTAGTTTTAAAATAAAGGTCATGTTGAGAAATACAGTGACACAATCAAAATAGTATTTACCTTGATTATCACATCTGCTGGAGCAATACTGCTTTTTCTGCTTTAATTGAAGAGCACATTTTTCTATATAGCTGATGATTGCTCTTCTACAGGGCCCTGACGGAGATGTGGCTGGGTTCGGAGAGTTCCCGTGGCAAGCGCTAGTGTCGTCTGCTGGTAACAGAACTCTGTTGTGTGGAGCTGCAATCATCTCTGAGACAGCCGTTATAACTGCGGCTCACTGCGTTGATCAGTAAGCAACTTTTTTCTCTGAACATTTTTTTATGTTCGACCTTTAGAAAGTTTGTGTTTTTAGTCTGTAAATTTTGATACAATCTACAATCTTTCACTTATTTATTAAGTTTTCAATTTTTTTAGATCAAACTTACAAGATAGGGATTTAGTTAAAACATCGATCACTGAAATGTTTCTATCAGAGTTTTTGTGATTGCCTTGGAAGTCAAAGGAATTATTTATGATCGTCACATGAAAAATGTTCTTTTCATTCATAACCAAGCATATTAGAGATCCTTTTGTTTCATTTTCCAACTGATGTTTCAAGTTGAATCTTTTAAAATTCTCATGCTAATGCCCATACAATAACTTTCACACTTTCATCTTTTACAGACTACGATCACAGGATCTAATAGTGAAGGCTGGGGAAGGCAAACTTTTAGCTCAGAACCCGAAACCAGTGCAAGTACGACCCGTGGGAGCCGTCTCAAGACATCCGAGCTACAACAGTGCGTCCCGAGCTTACGACCTTGCAATTCTCACACTGTCCGAGCCGCTCGTCCTGGACACTCACGTAGACAAGATCTGCGTTCCTGCCAACCTCGGATCAAACTATCTCCCGCAACCTGGCCAACAATGTCTCATCACTGGTTGGGGCAAAGTGGCTCTGCAAGGTAGGGATACTTGTCAGTTATATTAGAAAACTCATTGATAACATGAAAACATATGAAATAATGGAATATTGACAAGATGATTGGGGTATGAAAAAAAGAACAGTTTATTTTATGAATCACTACTATTGGCTAAACATGCTCCTACATAAATTCAAATGAGACTCAAAAACAAATTTAAGATGTATTTGGTAATCTCTAGAGATACTACTATATGCAGAATGCAGTTCTTGTTGTTTTAGTAACTTAAAATGATGATGATATGGAAAGATTTTGACAAAACACAACAATCTATATGGTGATATATTAACTATAGCTTGTTGTTAGGTATAATGAAAGATACAAATAGTAAACAGTACATGGTATATCTCACAATTGAAAAAAGAGACACATTTAGTCAACAATAACAATAAACACAAAATATATAAAACCAGTTAGTGAATGCTAAATAAATTCTGTGTTCAATATTTGGGCACTGAAGTGAAGAAAATCATGGGGAACAAGGTCTGGTGGTAGAGTGCGGGACTTCAGTCCCTAAGGTCCTGGGTTAAAATCCTGCCAATCACCAATGGATTTTATTGAAATGATAATGCTGCAAACCCTAGGCCTAGCCGAAAGTAATGCTAAAAACCATACCATGCTAGAGCCTAGGGTAAAAAATGGTTTAAAACACTAACTTAAGTTTGGTTTGTTCAGGACCAGTCCAAGGCAGTGACCTTCATAAGGTGCAAGCCACAGTACTTCCAGCCAAGACTTGTGAGGCTCAACTCAAGAACACTTCTTTAGGAAAGTACTTCATCCTCAACGAGGGTTTCTCTTGCGCCGTACCTCCATCACCCTCGGACCTATGCAAGGTTAGTTTCAACAATCTAATGCCTACAATTTGTGGGAAAATAATTTTATAATGTTTGGTCTAGAGACATATCAAGGATCATGATATTCATATAGTTCTCCTTTAACTAGTAAGAGGTATGGATTGCATATTTTAGAGTGGCAAGAGGGATAAACATTCAAACAAAAACCCTTCCCTACCACTGTCACTTTTGTTCTGTACAGTCATCTCAACAATTTATTGTCTTTGGATTACTTTAATACTAATCTAGTGGTGACTTTCAGGAAAGCGAACAGGTTTAGAGCTAGAACGTGGCTTCGGCCCCTGAGATCCTAGGTTAAATCCCAATCACCAATGGATTTTATCTAAGTAACCCTTTTTCTTCGCCTAGCCTGAATAGTGTAAAACGGTTCAGGGCTAGAGACTAACATCCTAGACTGTGAAGTTGGGACTTTGTGTTGGTCTCTTTTAGTGTTTTTGGGAGCCTTTCCCTCATTCGCATTCCTACCTACATGATATCCTGACACGATCTTTATAAGTTAGATTACATATTTAATTAAAGAACCTAAGCACTTGAGAGCATTGAGATGTAACCTCGGTTCTTAGGTGGACACTGGCAGCGCAGTGGCGTGTGCTCGACCTGACGGACATTATGAGCTGGCTGGTGTTAACAGCTGGGACATCCCCTGCCCTGTCCCAGAACCTCGACCCTCTGTGTTCACGACTAGCGACGCTACATGGATCAACACAGTACTCAACACTCCCCTACCCGTCCTCCAGGCAGAGGAAGAGGAACACATCCAGAGTCTATCCCAGGGAGAGAACATTCCAGGGATCGACACTGACGACAAACCCGGTTTCAGCCAAGGCTACGGAAAATGAACATCCACAAGACAATTTTATTTCAATACTGTTTCCAACGTGAATGATTAAATGAGGATTTTAAAATGTGACTGTAAAAATAAAAAATGTTCCTTATTTATTTGTTGTAGTTATTTTCTGTTAATTTGTCTGAAAGATAATTGATGCCACATCTTAAGAGGTGTTCGACTACTATGTGCACGTTAATGGTTCTCACTCCTACTTTTATATTTAACTCTATTTCTACAAGTTTAGATAAATCACACAATTTGATTCGAGTAGCTGACAAGGCACTTAGTATAAACTTCTAAGCCAATCATCGCTCTCAGACAAGGAAGTTACTCTTGGCTTTTCGAATAATGACTTAAAATATGTATTACTATGTAGTTTCTAAGTATCTATAACTACCGTATGGCCAGGTAGCATATAGTCTTCATGGGCTCCCACAGGGGTGGGCAAGGCGTGCAAGGGGGTGCACTTGCAACCCCCTGGCTAAAGAGATAAGGAATAACTGTAATGAATATGACTTACCCTTCTTGATGCACAATATACTATTTTTTTTTTTTTTTTTTTTTTTTTGTCGGTCCTATGTGTTACCAAATAGCGTAAAAAAGGTTTTAAAACATTATATTTTCAGAAATTTTCCCCGGACCCTCAGATGTTTGTTAGACCTATATATTGCACCCCCGTTTCAAATCCTGACGGCGCCCATGTTGTAGCTAGGCTACACAAAAGTATTTGTGAGAGCCAATAAATGAAGAGGCTTCTTAAGTTACTGACACAACTTTAAATCGAAAAAGTGTGCAGTATTTTGTATGCATGGCTTGTTTTTTTTGTCAGTTTAAGTTGAGTTTATTTGTTGTGTTGTATAAAATTTAAATTATTCGTGAATAAATACACAACAGTGGATTAATATGATTTCAAGTGTACTACTGTTGTGAATATGGATACTACTGACACCTAGCGGTACCTAGGTTAACTGTGGTGAATATCAATGCTAGTGATTATCTAGCGTGTTTTATCAAACACTGCTGAAAATATTAAAATTGGACTGCTTTACAATCATATATACTAGTTAAAGAATTGGTAATAGTTAATAGTTAACTAAGTAATAGTTAATCATACAATTTTATGAACTATTCACAGCAACTAGGTGAAGCATTGCGAATATCAGTGTTAGCTGATTTACCATCTTGATAAAGAGGAACATATTAACATATTATCATGAAAGAAAAATTTCAACACCTAAAAAAATTCAATAGGAATATGTACTTAGATATTCAATAACTGATTGTTCAGTTGAGTTCATGAGTTTATTAGTAGAAATTAACCCTCCGAGTGTCCATTGTTTTGGCCTTAATGTCTGCCTATTTTTTGCTCATTTGCAAGGTTTTATTAAAACGGATCTGAGAAGCTTGAAAACAATGTTAATTATACTGTTCTATATATCATTTTGTTTGGAAAATCATGGGCTTCAATATTATACATAGAACATAAGGAACATTTGTTTCAAAAAATTTTTTTAGGTAAAAAAAAAATATTGCGGAAAAAAAAACAAAAAATAAGTTCGCGCTCAATGAAATTGTATAAATTATAGGCCTATAAATATTTGAAAATAGCCACTTTGTTCTAAATTTTATGAGGATTACAAATATATAATAATATAAGGAAGTAGATTTGCAAATAAATAAGTTATGGGCAAAAAACAGATTTCAGTACATAGCGTTTAGCTAAGAATGCATAGCCTAACCATAGCTAGGAATCTGGCTGATAATTTACATCAATATCACTACCTACTTCTTCAGGATCATCAACCAGCCCTTCAAAATCACTTAAATCTTCTTATAATGCACCACGTATATCACTACTTTTGGTTTTTAACACTAAAACAATGATAAACGTAATAAAACACATCAGTCATCGGTCCGAGGGTAACCTAGCTGTTTACAAATACGCACGTCAGCTGTCTGCTACAATTACGATCGGCTCGGAGAACATAAAGCGCTTAGAGACAGACCTCTGGAGAAAGCTTAGAATCTAACGAAAAGAACGATACCTAACTCGATCCAGTTCAATCAGATTTTGTCAGTCATAGAGCCTTCGCCGTAAACAGTGTTTGTGAGTCGCTGCAGCGACACAAAACACTACACAAAGTGTGTTATGTGTCGCTGCAGAGACAAATAACACTCGGAGGGTTAAAAAGGAAAAGGTGTGAACAAAAAACACAAGTAATAAAGTGTTTAACCAAATATATTTACAATATTCAATTATACATGTCCATACCCTGTTTTTTCTAAACTACCACAACCAAGATTCAAGCAATGGATCATACGTTCGATGCGGCATCTGATGTGGTGTTCAGGTAATTACGTAAGGAAATCATCTGCGCAATGACTTTTGGGGATGGAATGTTTCAACTTACGACAAACATTCATTTAGAATATTGACAATTCATCGAGCTCAAACAGTTCAAACAGCAAAACTAGTTAGAAATGAAAACAGTAAATCATGGTGCCAAGATTTTTAAAAGCTTGGTGATAAATTCATGGAATAAATATAAATTAATATCGACTCTACTTACCAAAACTATTCAAAGCTTACCGACAAAATCTGAGAAACTAGGTAGCTACACGTTTCATAAATGTTTTACTATAAATAATAAATAAAGCTGTTAAGGCCTACATTCTTAAATATTATAACGAGACAAAAATAGTTCTATCTTTGTAATTGTTAAGCTAGTAAATCCTTGTAAACAGTGACTTAGCCCACTCGTCTGGTCGAGAGACTGCAAGGAAAAACTGAACATCAGACTAGACAAAAATAAAGCTCTGCTCACAACTTGACAACTATGTATATAAATATTAATCAACTTTGTAGTTAGTGTCTGTAAATGTTAATATGCTGTACTAAAATTATGCAGGTTTTACAAACTATGAAACGCTTTCAATGTAAAATTTACATACAATGAAGTCACTAATATGTTCGCTGTAACAGAAAATTTACTGTTTAATCAAATCACAGAAGTACAATGGTTGCCCATAAAAGTCTCCATCGTGCTTCGTGCTCCTGTCACATCCAAGCAAACCTGTTCAAATCTCAGACCAACATTGTGAGCCTTGCTTCATCCACAACTATTAGCTGGTCTTCACCCCTATGGGATGAATAGTAACGTAACAAAAGAGAATTGACGCTCCCGCCAAGTATCAATCCATTCTAGGTTTCTGTAGGAAGGAGATCAACCCCTGTAGATTACTGTTTCTAGTTGACATATATGCAGAAAATGATTGTTATGTACAAGGATAGGGAGACAGAGTCCAGATTAGCCTAGGTAACTTAACACACAGAAAACACATAACAGACTTCCACTAAAGTGGACCTTCATGGAATAGCATTGAAAGATACCATACTTGCTCGTCCTAAAAATGAAGTGGATTATTTAAACATCCTTGTTTCAAGTCATCCAATGTATGCACCACTTACTGTTTTTGCCAGAGGGTTTTTGCTGAATAAGAAGAAAAGACACAAGTGGTGGAATCTGATATAATTTGTGAATGCTATGATCTACGTCACCACAGTGAGCACGGTAATATATCAACTGTGGATATCTCACTACCATAGAGTCAACCACTTACATAAGGTGTTCTTACAGGTCAACAGAAGAGAGTTTGACATACCGTATCAAGTGTAAACGATATAAAAAATATGTCTATGGTAGAAAACATGCGGCAAGTTAGGGTTGTACCTTATGCATGCAGAAATGGAGTTTGGGAAACAAAGACAAAAATGTGTATGGAGAAAAATGGGTCCCTGCGACATACGTGGATACGACCAAAGTTGACTCACCTTGGGAGTACAGAGAGAGGTCAACGATCTTCTGGTGGACAAACGAACGGTTTTATGGTGCTCACGGAAGATTGTACGATGTTAGTGGTTACAGGACATATCTCGGCCCAACTCTGCAAGAAGCGCATAGAACACTGGCTGAACTACGGGAGAACCTTTGGCAAGACTGGTACACGAGGCCATGTTTCCTGTCTACCACCGTGTACAATGTTAATGAACAGACGTTCACACAGATCACAACACTCATTGAGTACTACGTTCTTCGCCGCAGTTTACTACGTGATCAAACAATATCACTCGAGTGACTCCGAGAAATTCATGAAAAGTGGAGAAAACGATTACTTTAACAGATTTGTAGGTACTTTCAGTTTTCTGCAGATAGTACTTTCTTTACTCCTGTGTTTTGCAATCAGTCGTGCCTTCATGTGTATGCGGGGAGGAAGAAAGTTTTCTGTGTGTTAAGTTACCTAGGCTAATTTGGACTCTGTCTACCAGGTAAGCTAGCTGATCCCTATCATTGTACATAACAATCCCAATAAGCCAATTGGCCTTTCCTTAACTTCTAACCTATATATATATATATGCAGAAACGTATTTTGTCATAGAGAATGTGCATCAGTGGCTTAGGGACCTCGCAAAAGGTCGTGAATATTTTTACAACGGGGTTAGCAGCGGGTGATCATCAGTTTCTATCAATACAGTGATTGAAGTTTAGGAAACTTTAATTGCTGATTTGGGTGTTGCAGACTTCCAGGGCTTGATAGTCTTCTAGAGATGTTCCTTATTAGTTACATTCTCTCTCGTTAAGTAACATCACGATCCACAAGCAAAATACCTATCACTTCAACCACTGCTTCAAACGAGACTGACAACAGTCGGCCTACACCATGAGAAACATTGTGCAAATGTTCAGGACCACCTCCAAACTCCTCCGCCCCTTCACAAATTACGTCGATTGTGTCCGTTAACTGACATTGACTTAAATCCTGAACACAGATGTAATGTCAGTATGTGATTTTTGCATGGCGGGAGCATCAATTCTCTTTCACAAAAGTTTCAAATACTATGACGAAACTAATCGTCTCATATGGGTGAAAAGAATATGCTGGAATAGTGCTGGATGAAATAACATTAATAACATGATGAAATGGGCATGAGATTTGGTCTAATATTTAACTAGCTCGCTTAGATGCGATGGGACCTTAATCCACGGAAAACCCTCGTAATTTCATCAATCTTGGTACCACAATGTTAATTTGTGGTTAATCATGATATAAACTTTATACATAGGCCTAAATACTTCACTTGTATCGTAATTAAAATAACATTCTAGTCCATCCACCTTTTGTAATGTCCCAGCATGGATTATTGAGGTCAGTTAAATACATTGTGATCAATGTAAGCGTACATTAACAGAAAATACAATTGGAAGACCTATTAGAGTCTTGGGAACAGTTATATCTTTACGTTGAGTAGGCCAAGAGGCTCTTGGAGTGCAATGAAAATAGTCACAACCAAATTTGGACTTCAGTCAATCTATATAACTGGCTAGCTCTCCAATAAAATTCAATTCTGTTAGTAAACTTTGAGCCAGCAAAATAACTACAAGCTTTACTGTAGGTAACCTATCTTTTGGTAACATCTGTATTTAACAGTAAACATAGATGATTTTGATAAATACTTTGCTTTTTCTGAGCTCTAAATAAATTTAATTTGTTCTTACAGCAAAATAAACTTTTTAAGTAAATTTTATTTAGGTATATTAATTATATTAAAATAGTGCCAGTAAGTTTTATACAGTGTAAAAATCCTTGTAAGATTAAAGCTTCAATAAAATAAAATCTGAAGGAAATATGATTGACCTGGCTTAAAATATTAGGCTAGTTTTACTAACATTTCTAAGAAATTACAAATATTATGTTTTACAATACTTAGGCTCATAAACTACAGAAAAGAAAGCATTAAAATAGCAAAAATGTCATTTAAAGCAGCACTATGCAATAAAACATGGAATGACATTTACAGTCAAATAAGTTAATCTGACTAAGCAACCACAAACTCTACCTAACTAATTAGTAACTAAACTTACATAAATAGCTTTAAGTTCACTTATAACTTATACAAATATTCGGGTATTTACAATTAATACCTAACACACAGCAGTGAAGTCAGTAATGTTTACATATCACCCATTTTGTCGGTAAAGATGTTAATTTATATTATATGAAATTCCATACAAAGGTGGATTTGTTTGATTTCTTTGTTATAATTTGTTATTCCAATATATATTTTTTTATTCATCTCGGTCATCAAAACCTAAAGCAGAGAAAAATTACAAATTCAGCAAATCTAACAGATCCAACCTATAAGACAAAATTTTTAGAATTTCACGTAATTGTGTATAACTTATAATAAGCTGGTAAATGTAAGCAACAAGCACAACCTTAAAATTACACACTACATACACAAAAAAATAAAATTTGTATCGATCACTACTGACTGGTTCACGAAGAATCAATACAAAAATAAAATAGCATTTCATGCTTAAGTGCAAAGTAATAGTGAAGAGGGCTATTATTATGACTTGTTTCTTAAGTGTTAGCTTAAATCTACATATATCAATTTTCTAGGTGGTTAAAAGCTCATTTTTAAATGACAAAATATGGTATTACTAACTAGAACATAAAAAGATAGTAACTAAAACAATTGTTTTCTTTCAAAGAACTTTACCCAAATCAAAAACTCACGGAAAAAATTGTAAATCCTCTCAATGCTTTAAATTGGAATCTAAAATATTTTGTACACCTATAAAATAATATATAGGCCTTAAGTTAAGTTTGAAATTGCAAGTTCGAGTCTTGGACATCGGGGACGTTCTTAACACCCATAGATTACAATACAGTTTAGACAGTTTGAGTCGTGTGTACAAGTATTTAAATATTATGTAATTTCCATATATCTACCTCAACTCTATTCTTTTACTGGTTAACAACAATAATACATTAATAATACTGAAGTTAGAAATATAAATTCAAAATTGTGCAACTTCTCTATAGGCTTAACTATACAATACAAAAATATGCTTTATGTAAGCTAGATTAGGCTTGGTAAGACCTATTTACAAATTCCACAACATCAATTTAAATTCATTAACTCTGCAACAAGAATTTTACAGAAACGAATCAAATAGGTTGATTGACTTGAAGGCCAATATTAGGTAGGGAGTGTCCATTGGGGTTCATTATAAATTATTGGGCGATTCTCCTTCATTGAGCTATTTGTAGGACAAAGTTATTCTGTAATAATAATGACACACCAAGATAGGCAAAACATTCAATTCCTTCATTACCTACTCACTCTCACGTAATCCTTAGACTTTTATCAACACAAGAACGCAAAGAATAAACAAACATTTTTTTAAACAACGAACCAGATAATAAGCGATTCAACGGAGATATTTTTGGGTTGTACAGCTCGTTTGGAACCAGGAACACTATAGAAGGTTACAATTGCTACTAATTCAATTTGGTTAATGATAAAATAACCAGTTTAGTGTTATTACTAAAAATGTGTCTGCGTTAAAAAAATTCAATTTAAATATTTCGATTATCAGGCATTATCCTAAATCCTAAAAGCGTGGAGGGACTTAACAATAATATCAATTTTGTTTTTGGTACAACTATCTAAATGCTTATGGAATAGTGATAACTAAAAATGCATGAAACAGCCAATCCGTTCAAGATTTTCTGGTACAGTGTATTTTAGTGGAACAGAACCAAAAAAGGAATATTGTAAGATATTCCACGAATTAATTATAAATGATAAGAAATGTTCAAAGGGTAGAGAATCGTTATTATCAAACTTTCCTTTTCTCTGTTACAACAGCCTAGTTCAATACCAAAGTATTTTGAAGAGGGAAAACAAAAATATGAGCCTGAGAAAATAACAAAAGAAGGTTTTCTATTTGATACCCTATGTCTCAAAGGATAAAGGAATCATAGGGAAGAAACAAATCTGACCATGAATATGATAAACTCAATGGTAATTCAGGCTTGATAGATTTACTGAATCAAGTCAAAGCTAAAGAAAGAAAAGCAAAAGTGTCTCCGGAAAGGAAAAGTGTTTTTGTAGCCGCAGTGCCTTTCAACAATAAGATTTTCATTAAAACCACACAAATTGTTTTTAGGACAAATGTTGTACATAAAATACTTTGCCTATACATAAATCCTATACTAAACAAAATTTTCTATGAATTTCAGAGGAGTTTTCTCCACGTCTAAGAGAATATATTTTTATCTAGGTGGGCTCAAAATAGTAACATATGGCGAATAGGCATCAGCATGGGTGGAATCTGAACCTAAGAAATCTACAACCACTGATTCAGCAGTGAACGAAAATAAATAATACAATATATTCAATAAATAAATATTTTCCATGCGATAAATAAATATTCTTCATGCAAAGTTTAGACTAAATTATGTTATCTTATATTTAAAATTATGTTTGACCTTTACTAACAAACAAAATATACAAATTCCCCTAAACAAGAAAACCCTACAACTCATGAAAACCATACAACTCATATAGTACTTTCCTTCAATAAATAAATATTTTTTTTTGACACACAGTTAAAACTATTAAATATCAGAAAAATATATAGTAAAAAAATAAATATTTTGATAAAATATAATTTTAGTGGTTTTAAGTGCACAATAGGAACGCAATATTAACTAATTTTAGAATAAATGCAGTGAAAAGCAAAATGAAGCGAGAAGTACACTTAAATTTCAACAGTATTTTGAAGGCGATACTGTTAAAATGTACCGAGGGAAGACATAAATGTTAACAACATGTAACATTGCTTGACTTTGAAGCTAACATGTAACAATCCTGGATCCAGAGGCAGCATACATTGACCATGGTAGAGAACATCGGCAGAACACACTCCTGTGACAATGCTTCTAGTATCTGGAACAATGGAACGCATACTATAGTGGCATGACAAGGTATTACTACAAGACGACATAAACAAAACATGTTCAATAGTGAAAAGAGTAGGAATCTGCAGGCCAGACTTTTAAAATTTGGCTACGATCTTTTTTTTTGCCTGAAGGTCTCTAGCCAAAATCGGGTTACTTTGGAATGTACTTAACGATTAAAACTAAATTATATGAATTGTAACAGTTCAATTGGTTGATACAGTACTGAACATCATATCTCGTGGTCACTGCGAAATTGTGAAATTCGTCCGTGGTCAAGGTGATATTGTGAACTCCTTACGCGGTCATGCCAAAATTGAGAACATCTTTTAAGGTCTGGGTGTTATCGTAATCATCTTCCATGGTTTTGGCAAAATCGTGAATATCTTCTGCTGTTACAGGAAAATTGTAGACATCTTCCGCGGTCACAAAAAACTTTTGAACGTCTTTCCCCGTCACAGCAAAATCGTCAACATCTTCTGCGGTTACTGTGAAATCATGATCATCTTCAGGGATCGCAGCGACATCATCATTGTCTCAGGGATCGCAGCAAAACCGTCAACATCACCTGCTATTGCGGAGGAATCGTCAATTAACCATTGGACATCTTTGCAGAAACTTTTGAAATTGTAAAAATAAAAGCTTGGTTTGCCTGGATAAGAAAGTTGAGTCACTCGCCCGCACCTTTAACATGATTCACCCAAACCGAGCTTGACCTGTAAATTATTTCCGGCCTGAACCAAAACTATTTTGGAGCTGCAGACAAATATCCTATGTCAGTCATTAAAGGAAATATACAGTGAAAAGCGGTGCTGTTGGTTGAAAAGATAGGAGAGTGAACATGATTTATGGGTTACAGCAGCAAGTTAATTTTCATCCAATGACCAATATTCAGTAGCCATCATTCAATTAATACGTATTTTTCTATCTTTAACTCAATTATTACAGTCTAGATTACTTTTAGTTTTAAATCTGTTCTTGAATGGCAAAAAAGTATAAACTGAGTAAATGGATTCTTGATCACAGGGAATGAAGACACTCTTTAGTGTGTATCCACCAAAAACTTGTTTTAAGAGAGTTTGGATTTTTGTGTCAATAAGATAAGAAAACAAGGGAAGATAAATCTAACTTAATCACTGAATTATTCTTGATGTTCATATGTATGAACTTAAAAATAAACTAAATAATGATATAAAGTATTATCACCTGTAATAGTTAGGCTTGAAGGGACCTGCCTTATTCAGTCCCATGTACTTTGCCTGTTCATCCGTCAATTCTGTTAGGTGAGCATCAAATGTGGGCAGATGTAAACTTGCAACGTACTCATCTATAAACATAAAAACATAATTAGCTTTATGTAAATACTTTAAAAATAACTGAAAACTTAAAAAGTTACTGCAAAGAAGTAATGTCTCGCCCAAATAATCACACACTCATTAAAAGTTCCTTCAAATATTGTCCATTCACAGTATTAAAGCTATATTGAAATCGTTACAATTAATTGTTACTCACCCATCTTTTTAGGTAGAAGATAGACATCAGACTTGTAACGACCGTGAGGAGCATTGAACAGTTCTATCAGGGCAAGTGCCTGCAACAATAACACATCAAAAACTAACAAATGTAACAACAGTTAACTATGTTTCAGTGTCGTTGTCACTTGGATATTTTGAGTTGTTGCATTTATAAAATACTTGGTAAGAATGTTAAGAATCTATTTTAGAACCTGGCAATAGTAACTTAACTGCTGATGTTTGGAACATACTGATGCTTTTATTTTTCTATAACAAATACATTTTCATTTGAATAGGATTTCATGATTGTATTGTTCAATTGAAATTGACCATCATAAGTATACGTTATTGCAATGTATGTGGACCCAGTTTATTGTCACGAGTATCATTATAACTAAAAATAACAGTTTATGATGTATTGCCAAGCTTAACAGAAAATCCGAAGTCAAGGCTAGAACATAAGTTAAAAGACAATTTAGGTGTAGCAGGGTTGGCAAAATGGTGACCTGGTGACCAACCTAACAGAAGACCGCAATGGCCAGCAGTGATGGCCGTACGACCTGAGATGGCGCTGCATAAACAATGATAAGCTGATCCAGAAACAGCTGTGGCCAGCACTGCCGTCCATTCAAGGGCAAATGGTTAATAAATGCCACTGGCGTAGATAGACACAATAAAAAAACTTAGAAAATGTTACCTGGGTGGCAGCAGTGATGGAGACGACGAAGGACGGCAGACTGGAACAGCTGAGGTTTACAAGACGACCCTCAGCCAGAAGAATGATGCGTTTGCCATCCGGCCAGATGACATGATCCACCTGGGATCTCACTTTCTCCCACGTCAAGTCTGGCGTGCGTAGACTATTCTGTAACCAAACATCACCTCGTAGAGTCAGTTCTTATTAGAAATGCTCGGAACTGTAATTAGAGTTTGGCTATTTGTTAGATAGTGCATATTTTTGTGATGAAATTGTTTAGTAAAACTCCAAAATGACAAAAGCATTATATTTTTGTCAGTAAAATCAAAATGGCTGTTGTCTGCAACTCTACTGCTGCGTAGTTCTAATTTTACAGTAGATTTGACAGATAAGACAATACAATGTAAAATAATTACTTCCCAATATTTCAATTTACAGACTATGAGGCTATACAGTATAAGCCCACTAATTCGGCATACGTCTAAAATATTTATGCTGTTCTATGTAATTTTTTTGGTAGAGTCAAATGTGGTCAGTAGGTTTCCCGAAAGAATCCCCCTTCAAGTTCAAAGAATTTTTCATTCCGAACAAAGACCTGAATTTTCTGGATTGAGATAGCCTTGGTCATCTGAGCCTGATCTCTGAAATGGAAGTCTAGTCCTTAAGTAACATATTTTAAATGTTAGTTTGCTAATTTTTGTTGTCCTCTTAACCACACTGCCATTGATTGACATCACTGCTATACAGACAAGCTGCAGCCAGTCTTTTTTACAAAACAAATAATGTAACTAAATGAGCCGTCCTGGAGGTATGCTAATGTTCAAATTGTATTTCCACACTTAGTTGATGTCACTTAAGATGCAATAGCTTACACTAAGTTTGATTTTGAGTTTGGCTAGGTTATACAAGGTGTTTTCTATACCGCGCATCCCAAGTTAAAAGTACTGTGAGGCACATTTTTCTTTACTTCATTGTCAATCAGCTGATATGCGTTGTTGCATAATTATCTTTGAGTTTTAGTGTTGTTGGAAATTTATCATAAATAAGACACAGCTTAATGAAAATCAAATCAGTCATCTGGAAATTCGCTTAGTCTGCAGGTTTGTTGCGACAGGGGTATTTTTGTTACTACCAATACGGTTTCCTTAAATTTGAACTATTATTGACATTTACAAATTTAAGGAAACCGAATCTGTGCTGAACAAAAATACCTCCGTCGCAGCAAACCTGCAGACTAAGCGAATTACCATTTGCCTTGTTTAATTTATTCTTAAATGTAGAGATTTGAGTTTTCCTTTAATTTGGATTCGGTTGACTTAAATTTGTATATGTCAATAATAGGTGATTTATTAAGTACGGAAATCACACCTGGAAACTTAATTTCAAATCTTTATTCCCATAAAAATGATTTACCTTCAACGTATTATTCTAACTCTTTGAGATTGGGGAATTATCATGTTGTGTCTTATTTACAACAAATTTCGAGTTTCACTAAACGTAAACCTCTAGAACTAAACCTCATAGATCTATGCAACAACGCATATCGGCTGATCGGCAAGTAAGTAAAGAAAACAGGGATACCAACATATAAGGTTGTTTTGTCATTAAAATGTGTCTCACAGTAATTTTAGTTTGGGTTGCATGTTTAAAAAAAAACACATTGTCGGAATCAAGTATTTGACTTCAGCACACTCTATAAGGTCAATTCAGCTACAAACAATCATTGTTATTCTAAACCTGGCTACAGCTTTGACATGATAGCGGCATTTATACTTCTTTCAACAGTCAAAACCACCGATTAAAATTTAATCAACGGTTTTACTTCTTGACGCCATTCTTGTATATACTTGGGTATATGGCTGAATAAAGATGTTTTAAATTGAGTTCTAGGTTTCTAAATAAAAAAAACTAACTGAGATATTTAGTGTTCCACATAGATTTCTATATTATAATACTTACAACATCAATCTCCGTATTGGAATGGCCCATATTGCAGACGACGCAGCCGTTCTTCATCTTGTCCATGTGTTCTCTGGTAACGACATTCTTATTTCCTGTAGCCGTTACGACAATATCCACATTGCGTATCACCTCATTCAGCTTCACCACTCTGAATCCGTCCATGCTGAAACAAAGTCAAATACTCAATTTCGACTCAAATGTAACTTCCAATTGCATAGTTCAGAGATAGGCCTAACCAATTTTTCTAAATGTAACCGTAATAGGTATGAGGACGTCCAAATTACTAATTGACCCCACTGATAAGGGTTGGAAAGGCTTGCTGAGCCTTAAGAAAGGGGACATTAGTCTACTAGTAGGAGTGTTAACAGGGCACGGTCCTATCAGGAAACATCACAGGACCATAGGGAGGTCACAGACAGACCTCTGCAGGTTCTGTGAGAACGAGGTAGAAACCTCAGAACACTTATGGCTGGACTGTCCAGCGTTAGCCCATAGAAGGTTGTATTTTCAATTTTCAACAGAAGCAAACAGCCAAAGCTTGCCTAAAAAACTGTTTCCACAATATTTTTAATTTTCAACAGAAGCAACCAGCCAAAGCTTGCCTAAAAAACTGCCCTATTTTTTATCACACAATATTTTCAATTTTCAACAGAAGCAACCAGCCAAAGCTTGCCTAAAAAACTGTCCAATTTTTATCACGAAATTTTCTCAATTTTCAACAGAAGCAGCCAGCCAAAGCTTGCCTAAAAAACTGCCCAATTTTTAGGCGCTGTCCAGAAAAACCAAACTATGTCTAAGACTCCATGTGGTGCATGTGACCTTGGAGTCAAGTACTCAGCAATAGTTTGCACAGGTCCTTGCAGAAAGTGGTTCCATTCTAAATGTACTGGAATGTCAACAAGTGATTTCAGAAAGATCATTAAAGCTGGTTACAAATCATGGAGCTGCAAAGAATGTAAACTTCAAAGGGACTCAATCCCTTTTCTGCCTACATGCACAACCCCCTTAATCGATCAAAAGATTGAAACAACCTCTGAATGTCAAGTCAAAACCAGCTCAGAAGACCTTCAAGCAAAAATAAAACAATTTCAAGCTCAAGAACAGGAAGACTTAGAGACATCCCTAACTTTAGCTGCCGAAGTTGGTAATGTCCTACTTACAGAAAACAATAAGTTAAAACAAGACCTACATGATTTGACTATAGAAAATACTAAACTAACCTATCAGATTTTCAACAAAAATAATTCTCTTGAAATGAGTTATGAAGCAAAAATCGAGGAACTAGAACATGAGAAGGAATCTTTATTAAATCAAATAACATCGATAACAGAAACCTTAAATGAAGCTGAGCAACAGCTAATCAAAGAGAGACAACTCAGAGCTGAACTAACAACAATGTTTGAAGATCAAGACAAGGACAAAGATCAAGTAATTTGTAATCTAGAAAAAGAAATAAAGAACCTACAACAAACTATTAAGAACCCAACAAAATATAATGTTTCTGGAAATCATCAAGCAAAAAACACTTTAACATTCAAAAACTCCGAATCTCAAACCCACAGCTCTGAGCTCCCAACACAAAACAGCTCATTGTCCCTGCTACTTGAGCTAGCGAAGCTGAAGACCTGGCAAGAAGAAACATAAAACACTTTAACAGCAATTAAAAGTAAAATATTTCAGCAAGAGAATGGCAAGAATACAAACTTCCCCAGTGATACACAACCCACACCGTCTTGTGAAAGCCCGAAAACCGATGCAAACGGAAGAATAAGGAAACAGCTAAGGGTAATGAATAGAAATATTTTTAGTGTGTCACTCCAGATGAAAAAAAGTAAAGAAAAGGACATAAACATAAACAATACAAAATCGAAATTAAATACTCTCCAGAGCAGTTTAAAGTCTACTCCTTGCCCTAAGTCCACTCAATGTGCACAACAAGAATCTCCCATCATTGATAAACTTCCTGCTAACAGACAGACATTTAAAGTACAAAAAGGACCTCCCTGTACCGCTAAAAAACTACTACCAAATGAATCACTTGAAGACTTTTTAAACCAACACATGGAGTACATAAATGGGATCTCACACCATAAGCTACCACAATGTAAACAACATAACCAATCAATACTGAAAGACTCAAATCAGACCCTAAACCATTTTTTAGGTGTGAAGAAACAAACAGACGACAAAACATAGAATCAACTTCCCCCCTGAATGACAACAACCAAAACACAAACCCCAAAGCACAAAGAAGAGATAATCAGGGACATTTAGTAATTACACAAAATAAAACAACCTCCATCACAATTTTTCACCAAAATGTTCAAGGTCTTAGGAAAAAGATTGAAAGAATAAATCATCTAATGAGTGAACTCAAACCCACTATCTTGGTGATTACTGAACATGGACTCAGCTCAGATATGTTATTACTCACTAAGATTAGTGGGTACAACCTAGTCACATATTCATGTAGGGAAGAGCATAGAATGGGAGGAGTTGCAATCTATATCCAGGAAACTGCTGCTATCAAGGCAGAAGAAATAGAAATCTCCAACCAAAGTTTAGAGTTAGTTTTTGAAGCAGCATTAGTGAAAATAAGGATAAAGAACAAAAACTTCTACCTACTTGGTATGTATAGACCACCAGGGGGACAAGCTAGGTTAGCCATTGACATCCTATCAGAAGTTCTGGAGTCTCACAGAACTTCAAGCTGACACCAAGACCGTTGTATTAATGGGCGATATCAATATAGACAGGCTAACTGAAAATGCCAGTAGTAACTATCTTGAAGAGGAACTGTCAACTTTTGGAGTTAGAAGACTACCACTCCCAGCGACAAGAATCACTAACCATTCAGGAACCTCTATAGACTGTATCTGTACGAATACACATGATAATGCTATAGATTTTGCTATAATTAACGCTGGAATAGCACATCACACAGTCCAAACATGTACCCTCAAAATACAGAGTGAAGTTACTGCTAAAACGGATATGTCACAAAAAAGAATTTTTTCAATAAAAAACCTGGATAGCATGAAAGACGAACTCTCCAAAGAAAACTGGATAAAGGTGCACAATGCCCCTGATGCTGAAGAGGCATACTCTGCATTCCAAAGGACTGTAAGGCTCATACTGGACCATGCCTGCCCTATCAAAAAAATAAGAGCTAAGCAGAAAGGACAGAAAATTAAGGTTCAGTATGATGAAGAAGTCAAAATACTAAAAGAAGATTTTCTAGATGCCTTACACCGATACGAGCTTACCGGAAATGTAAATGATAAAACAACAATGTCGGAAAAAAAGAAAACATATGATTTAAAGCTCAGGTCCCTCAAGCGACAAGCCACTGCAGAATACATCACAAGTGCTGATAATAAATCCAAAGCTGTCTGGGAGATCATCAACAAAGAAAAACAATGTAAACAGAAGGAAGAACCAAATCTGCAGCTGGAAATAGAGGGAAAAATATTAGATAACCCTACTGACATTGCTGAACACCTAAACCAATATTTTGCAGAAATAGCAGACTCCACTTTAGAGAAAAACAGAAGCCAATTCAAAAACAAAAAAATTACACATCCACTATTTCTACCACAAAGCAATGTCCAGCCACTAATTTTAACTCCTACAACCATTAAAGAAGTCTTAGCAACAATAGCCTCACTGAAATCAAAGCTGTCATGTGGAGTAGATGACGTGCCATCAAAAGTTGTAAAACACTGTGCCGAACAACTGGCAGCTCCACTTGTCAGCATAATAAACAAATCTTTTAGCCTTGGACAATTTCCCTCCGCCCTAAAAATAGCAAAAATATACCCAAAGCACAAAAAAGGCTCACGCACTAAACAAGAAAACTACCGCCCTATCTCATTAATATCAACCTTTTCAAAAGTAATAGAAAAGGTTGCTCTGTCAAGAATGCTGAGTCACTTGGAAAGCAATGATCTCATCACTAAAAACCAACATGGTTTTCTCAAAGGGAGGTCCACCACCACAGCTCTAACTAGTTTAATCGAACAAATCATTGACCATCTAGAAGCACGCAGATATGTATCAACAGTCTTACTTGACTACAGCAAAGCTTTTGACTGCCTGGGCCATAATCTCATCCTAAGGAAACTCACAGCCCTAGGAATAGAGGGAATGGCCAAAGACTGGGTGGCAAGCTATTTGAAAAGATGTACACAAATTGTCGAAATCCAGCAAAACACAAATGGGAGAAAATCTGTACATAGGTCCACACAACTTTCGATCAACAGGGGAGTGCCCCAGGGCTCAGTCATGGGCCCATTTTTGTTCATCCTTTTCACCAATGATTTTCCAGATTTTATTAATAATGACAATTGTGAAACAATAATGTACGCTGATGACACAACTCTTCTATTTATGCACGACTTACCACAAGAATTACACTCCAACATCTTATCCTCAACAGACAAAGCACTGCAGTACTGCCTTCAAAATGACCTGGCCATTAATCCATCAAAAACAACCCAGTTAAATTTCAGCCGAAAACATGAACAAATCCAAGAAATTCCTGAAATAACCGTTGAAAAAAACTCAAAACTGCTGGGCCTGACAATTGATGAAGACCTCTCCTGGAACGACCACATACACAACCTGACCAAAAAACTTGCATCTGGTGTCCATGTAATAAAGAGGATGAAATGGATAGGAGGTCTGGAAACAGCTAAGACAGCATACTATGCTGTAATAGAATCGCATATAAGGTATTGCTTAATATCTTGGGGAGGAACATCAGAAGCAAACCTCAACAAAGTGTTGGTACTCCAGAAAAAAGCTGTCAGGGCACTCTCCGGCCTTGAGCGCTTAGACAGCTGCAGGGAAGCATTTAAATCCCTTAAGCTCCTAACAGTGACAGCAGTCTACATCCATGGAGTTGTCCTGTACACAAAAAAACTTAACCTTCCCAGAAATGAGAATTTTCACTCCTACCACACCAGAAAAGCAGCCGACTACAACCTTCCGATCCACCACACTACACAATACAGCAGAAAACCCTCTTATATTGGCCGAAAAATCATCAACTCTCTTCCAAACAACCTCAAGAACGCAACAGGAAACCAATTCAAACAGCAACTCTGGGACTGGCTTGTGGACCGACCGGTGTACTCCCTTAAGGAATTTTTTGACCAATTATGAACTTTCAACACAAAAGAAAATGTAAACTGTTAAAACAATCTAAATGTTAAACATTCTGAATTTTTCTGACGCCATTGTATTTCTTAAAGAAATCACAAATAAAGATAATTGTCTATTGTCTATTGTCTAAGGCTTACATCTCTGGGGAGGTTATTCCTGGAACCAACAGAGATAAGGAAGCTGGGTGTCTTTCAGCTCCTGGGCTACTTGAGATGCCTAGGACTGTCAGAATGAATTAAAGGGTGCTACAAAAGGTCACCAGGCCGAAGTAGCTAGGGGTATGCCATTACCCCAGCCCCCACAAAAAAAACCGTAATAGAATAATACTTGGTCATAGTAAACCTGTTGACTCAGCAAATACAACCCGTATACAACATCTACTTGCTGAGCCTGCTTCCCATAAACAAAACAAGCTGGTTAGCGAACTCAGCTAGATTCTAGCGTTTTTTTCTAAACTTTACTAATTTGAGTGATTTATTGAAAAAAAAAATTTAAAGCTCAAACTCTTAGAGAAAATAAAATGTTTTACCTCCAAATCCCATCCTGGGAAAATAGATTGTTACCTATTCCTTTATTTTTTTTTATTTTATTTTATTTTTAAGAAAAAGAGGTTGGCGGCCTCTTTTAACCTTGCACTTGCCCGTCCACATAGACTACAGATCTGTGCGTGGAACGTATTCAGCAAAGCAAGGGGTGAGCCGGTACAGTACAAAGGTGAACTGTACTGATAAAAGTTTGTGGCAGTGACCAGGATCCGAACCCTCGACACTACTGCTTTGGGCTCAAAGTCCGTGACGCTACCAACTGAGCCACTGACTCACCATTCCTAAAATTAACTGATTTGTATTTGTTATAAACATACAAATATTTTCAGTTTAGTCTTTAAAAGTTTAGCACATTTTAATATATCATGAGTTGAGGGTTGGGCAAACACAAATATCCAAACCACAACAGCAAATATATTTCTGCATTGATCAAAATTTTAGAAAATATCTTAAAACAGAATGTTTATTAGAAATATGTTACGTCTCAATAAGTTAAATATATTGCACATACCTTTTTTTTTGTAGCCTACTTATTGTTTAAGTACTAAATGATTTAAAGGTGCTCAGAGGCGTACTGCACTACCGCCTGACTACTGCGACCCGAGCGTCAGTAGCCCAAACTACGTTGTGAAAATCGGTAACAACTATTAGCATTATCTGTATATATTTAGACATGTACTAACTGTTTGTATTTTTATGATTGCTAGGTGATGTAAATGAAGCAGTCTTACCAAGCTTGAAGGCCACAAATGGGGTCGATCTCAGTGACGTAAACCACACAACCCAACCCCTTGAGAGCTTGACAACACCCCTTGCCGACTTCTCCGTAACCGCAGAGAACAACCTGCTTGCCTCCAAACATTACGTCAGTCGACCGCTTCAAGCTGGAAAAACACCACAGATACAAGTAAATAAATAACCCTGCCGCAACAAACATGCAGACTAAGCAAATTTCCATTTGCCCAATTGGATTTTTACTAAAATATTAACTGCACTAGTTCAATGTTTAACCTCAAAATTTAAGCAAACCCATCCTTCTAACATAAGTGGGAGCCAACCACCATAGCCAAACTGAGAGATTAAAGTTTGTATTGTCATTGAGTATACACGTACTAGAGTAGGCACTCAATGGGGTCTACCGTTACCTAAGCAGCGCTGTTGTATGGTAGTGTCAGCGGCCTGAACTACGCCACCTTGAGCATGTCGGTAATGCAGTTTAGTTTTTTTTTATGTGGCGCTTATTGTAGGTTGTAAAATGTCGTTTTTGTTGATGAAATTTGTTTATTTGGCTATGATTTCGTTGTTTTTTAATCCATGTTTAATACTAAATGATTCAAAGGTGCTCAGAGGCGTACTGCACTACCTCCTGACTAGCCCGACCCGAGCGTCAGTAGCCCAAACTACGTTGTGAAAATCGGTAACTACTATTAGCATTATCTGTCCCCTGGCCCCCTCCAGTGACGGGTCTGTATGGCAGGCTTGGACACAGCGATTCGTGATGATGCCCCAAATGTCAAATAGGCCAAACAATGCAGTGATTAATCATTACCTAACCTAACCTAACCATAAGTCCATTGAGTCTCACCTGTCAATGATTGACTCCCGACAACTGTAGAGATTATCAAACTTTGTTTTGGTAACGGAATCATTAACATTCATCGCAGGTACTGTTAGTTTCTGAGCTTTGGACAGTTGGTAGAGTCGATGAACTCCTGTGACGCTCTCTTCAACGATTCCTGGGGAAAAATGGAAAATTTACACTCTAAGCTAAATGTTAATAACATAACAGTTAAAACTATTTGTATTTAGTTTATGTGATCTAAGAAGGACCAAATATGAAATAACTAAATTTAAATGTTCAGGTATCATATTATGATTTAGGTTCTTTGTACTTCATGAGTGAAGAGCGTATCCTGGGTTCATTTAAAAATCTTAAATCCCAGAGAGCAAAAACATGTGATTTTGGGAGTTGTAAACTAATAATAGCATTCAATATTGTATCATTTTAATCCATCTGCATTCAATAACTAACTTTTTTTAACTTTTAAAAATAGGACACAGCTGGTCCAGTTGTTGAAGTGCTAGACTTCTGTCCAGAACCCCCAGGTTCAAATCTTGCCAATCACTAATGACTTTTAGCTATGTAATAATGTGAGTCTGAGATTTAGGGCCCACATTAACCTGTGATTCTACCAACCGAAAAACAAAAAAAGAGCAAGTCCCTCATGCTAGGAGGGCTTTCTCTACACTGAAAAACTTTCTTCACTAAAATTCATAAAACATTTATTTAACATATTTAACAAATTACCGAATAAAGGTGGATAACCTGTCTGTTCCTGTCGGTTCTATGTCCTTCCTGTTCTTCTTCTAAGGTAAGATAGCTGCTATCCCCCTTTATTCCACAAATAAAAATCGTGGCTTAGAGCCTTTCCTTAAAACTAACCTTACAAACAAATTAGACAATTTTAAAATATTTATTGTACAAGATTAGTTTAAAATGTACCTTTAATCATTTTAAACATAGTAGGGTACTTCTTGAGCATGAGGTGAGTAGCGTCGCCTCCGTCGTCTAGAATCATGTTGGGCTGCCAGTTTTCCGCATTTATGCACTTGTCTATACACCACCAGAAATCTTCTTCCGTCTCACCTCTCCAGGCGAAGATCGGGTAACCTTTACACAACACACAAATAGTTATAAATAAATTCAGCAGTATTTGTGGATTATAAATGGTGGATGAAAGGTGGAGTATAACAACAATTCTGAGTTTGGAGTCTTTAGACTTAATTTGACTAGTTTCAACCTCTCCACAAGGTTTTGTAAGCTCTCGTGAGAACATTAAAATTGGGAGAAATTTATGGCGTCTGCTATAAATTTCTTGAATTAATATATCTATCAATTCAATACAAACTGGTTAGCATGATAGTAATGCCTACGTATGCAAATATTTGAGCAAGATTATTGTAATATTTAGCTCGGATTGAGGTTAAAAGGTGGGATAGCTAATCCACATGTTTAAAATATTGTGTGATTGTTGCACTAACAAAAAGAGATTCTAGAGCAAATAATTAATTGAAAAAGCTTCTAAAGTTATTGTGAATAGTAAATTCAAACACCAAAGACACAGTAAATTTATTTGTTTGGTGGATATTGGATATTTGTTATATGTTCTACCCATTGCTTTCCTGAGGGTAGGTATATTTCTTAAATAAAAACAATTGTGTATTGGTAAATAACGAATAAATAAAAACTAACCTGCTTCAGCCAAAGCAGCAGCAACTTCATTCTGAAACAATCAGAAAAAAATAGTATAAAGAAAAATATAACATGGAAATATATTAAAACATGAAGAGGAAACTCGGCTTATTCACTCACTTTGCTCACTAGTTGCACAAATAACTATATTTACATACTTCATTGTAGTTGTTAGCCTCCGTATTGCCAAATAATATTAGAAACGATTTAAATACCTGCTATTAAGCAATCCAGTTTTGTTGTTAGCACAACTAATCTACTCGTATGTGTGATTGACAGGACGCAACCTGGGATGATAAGATAACGGACGTACACCACTAAACTGACCACCCGCAGTCTGGACTCAAACTCCGCTGGGTTAGCGTCGTCTGTTTTCTTAACTGATCAGTAACCATATGTCTCGTATTCGTGTTTGTGTCGTGTTTAAATGTTTATTTATTTTTGTGTTAATATGACGCTCTTCGTATGAAGAAAGAAAACTGTCCTTGTGCAGCCTGATGATGGTGTCACACAGACACCGAAACTAGTTGTGCTAACAAAAAAATTGGATTGCTTAATAGCAGGTATTTAAACCTTTATTATAATATATTTACATATTCGTGGGAGAATAGTACATGTGTCAGAACAAAAGATTTTAGATTGTCAAGTTAGGTTCTGGCCCTTAGAAAACATCAAGAAAGATCCTAAAATGTTAGGGTCTTTTAAAAGTGTTTTAACAGTTATTTAAACTAGAGAAAATTTGTGTGACACACTGATCAATTATAATGCTTAACATTTGACCGAAGAGCGGCAAATACAGGATCTGATACAAACGAAGGCTGTGACGGAACTAAGCAGCCTAGAGTCGTCAAATGAGCTGGAATGTAGAGAGTTGATGTTGGGCAACTGGGCAATATGGAGTTTGGCATTCAGGTTCACGCAATTTGTCTTTTTTAAAACCTTGTTATTTTACAGCCAAATCTTGAATGGACAGTTTAATTTTCCTTAACAATCATTGCTAAACTCACTTTCCAACATCCTATGTTCTTGTAAGAATGTAATTTTGAAATTTTGAAACTAACTTAGAGTAACAACAGGTAAAACACCAAACTCTAAGGCTCTACAAGGCCATAAAATTAGTACATTTAATTCCATTATTGATAACCATTAATTATTCGTTTACACCATAATTGTGCAACAATTTGTTAGTGTGTTTTATATATAGAGATATTGATATTACCTGTGTGGAGTAGATGTTACAAGCAGACCATCTAACTTGGGCTCCCAACTCTGTCAGAGTTTCAATCAGCACCTGTCAATCAACAAGGCTTATTATATTCAAGGAAATGTTCTCATGGTCAGTTAAAATTTAACAAGTCTATATTACTACAAGACACTTTTTTATGAATGATTCTAAGAATTGGCTTGCACATGTGACTTAAACCGTAACAGTATTTCACCGTCTTCAAATTATAACGGTTGTTAATATTTACAAACTCTATATTGATGTTTACAACCGTTAGCAAGAAAAAGGTGCTTTCGGCGCGGACAATAAGTCCGGGGACAAAGGTAAACCCTGATAACAGTCACCAGCTTACGTCGCAGGCCGCTGGAGACCACTGAACACGGAAGTAGTTCCTGTAGTCACCGCTGAAGCTCGCTACTTCCGTGGCAAATAAAACCAGCCAGTTGAAGTCAGTTAAAAGTCAGCCTGGCAATAATTAATTGTATTTAATACAATTAGTATTGGTTATTGTATAAAGACTGGCGAATTATCCAAACATTTAATGTTTTATTTTAGTAGATTGAGATATTTATTTACAAAGACCGGCAAATTAGCCTGACAAGGGTGTTATTTTAGTTTATTGAATTATTTTAATTTAGAAAGACTGACGCGTTAGCCTGGCATTTAAAGTTAGATTTTGGTTTGTTGATTTATTTAATTTAATACAGACTGGTGAATTAGCCTGGCACTTAATATTTGAGAGTAAAATAGAGTTGACAATCGTTTTAAAAGTGATCATTAAAGCGATGATGAGTGTGTTAACATCGTTGACCCCCTGTGGTAAGGTGTTACTCTGAGCTTTATCAGACAATAGATGCGGTTGGATCAAAATTGAATCGCGGAAGGACTGTGGAGTTTCCCAGCTCAACTTGAGCGACTCCGAGCATTTTATTTGTTAAGGCAGTACGGTAGAGCGTAGGACGGGAGAGCTTAGATAGAAAAGCCGTAACCCTGGTACACCTTACAAAATCTCCACGAGACATGTGGTCTATGGTAACAGGCATATCCAGCTGTATGTTTACACTACAAGCCTGTGTAGTCTACATATTGGCATGATGTGAGCATACATACCGCAGTCTGAGCATTGATGTGAGTACAGCCAACAATCTTGGCCGACTTCAGAGGCTTGTCATCGCCAGCTCTTTTCCTCAAGGCCATGATTCCCGGCATTTCTGTATCAGAAAAGAATCTATAATAAGTGTTAAACCGAGCAATCTTCACCTTAGTGGAGAAAATGTGTCTTTTACCAAATACCCAGAGGAAAAGCTTTTGCCATCCCAAAATACCCCCGCCGCAGCAAACCTGCAGACTAAGCGAATTTCTATTTGGCTGATTGGATTTACACTGAAATGTCTACTTAAAAATATAACATTTATTCTTGATTTAAATAGAATTAGTTTAACAAGTACTTAGGTTTGCTGCATCAGGGAGGGTAAAACTGTTTTTTTTTTTTTGTAAAATGTGAATAGTTAGTAAGAAATAAAAACATTTTCCAAATTTGATCAAAATATGTTCACAAACAAGCAAACTACAACAGTTTACTTATTCTCCATAAGAATAACATAGGAATTTTAAATTTACAATTTTTTTGAATTTTCTCCGTAACCATTAGGCGCATAGTAACGCTTCAATATACTAAATTATTTGTTTTTTTAAGCTCTACAAAATGGTTTGGAAAGAAATTGCTAAATTTTATGTTTTTTGGGTTAAAAATGGGAAAAACCTATTTTTACCCCATAAAACCCCCCGTAAACCTCCGTTTCCATGGTCCGATCATGCTGGATCGCGAACTCGTTCGAATAAACGTACTTTTACACGTTTGTACCACATTTCATCAAAATCGGATCATTTTTGCTCGAGTTATCGTGCTGACGGACACATATATATATATATATATATATATATATATAAATATATATATATATATATATATATAAATATATATATATAAATATATATATATATATATGAATTTGAATGGATGGTGTTTTTGGCCTCTAGGGACCTCAAAACGAAAAAGTAAATCGGTCCCGGGTCCAGGTCTTACCATGAGTACTACGGTAATAGCTTATTTTACCTATATGGGAAATTCGCTAAAATGATACTTACTGTAAAAGACTACTTAATGAATTAAACACTTATTTTCATGACATTTCTATTTGCATAATTTAAGTACAATATGACAAATATTGGGAAGGTAAAACTTCTATGTGAGGTTATAAGTTGCTGGTATTTAGAAATTTTATGTGCTTATATGGACTTCAAGAAAATACATTTTATATCTGTATAAACAACAATTTGATAACTCTTGTAAAAAGACAATACAGAAGCAATCAATCAGAGCTATGTTAAAAATGAACAACGATGATTCTGCAAAAGAACAATTTAAACATGTTAGAATCCTCTGTTTATGGTTTGTATGTTCTTGACTGTATTATGTTTGTCAAAAACAAAAATTTCAATCCACCAATTAAAGAAAACAATCATAGCTACAATACACGTAACAAAAATAGCTTTGTAATTAGAAAACATAAATTAGAGCTATAAAAAAAAAGACTGTCAATGCAGAACATGAATTATTAAAATTTATTCCTTTGCACATTAAAACAGAACAAAAACCCAAAATTTTTAAAAAACCTCTCAAGGAATATTTAATAGACCTATCCTTATACTCTTTAGATGAATTGAAAATGTCTTTATCGTTGTTTTAAGAATAAGTTTTAATTTATTTGACACTATTCATGTACAACCATGTATACTATGAATAAAGATTCTTGACTACGACTATGACTATATATTTGGGTAAAACTTTGACAATATCCTCATTTCCCGACTAACTATGAACTAATGAAACTATTCTTATTTAATAATTTATATTGGTTATATTGGTTCATTATTTATTTACAATAGTTGAGACTATTTATTGCACAAACTTGTGTGCTATTCAAAACCACTAAGAACACTTAAATTCTATTCACATTATAGGGAAAAGAAGTTTATAAAAGGTACATAGCATACATTACATTTTACTCGAAAACTTATTCAAAATATATTCAAACGATGATCTTACCTTGTTCTGCTATTTCAATTTCTCTACGCCCAAAGGCATGTTGACTAACGTTGCGAACACAAAAATCTGTGAAGTTGTTGGAACTTTTTTGTAGTTTTTCTCTAGGAGAGACGTCATCCTCATCTGAGCTACTCCCGGTGTATGAAGCTGAAACATCAACGGTAAAAATTACCTCCAACTTTCAATCGTAGGAACCTCGTATGTATTAGGGATAGAGAGGGTACCAAAACATCAGGAAAAATATATTCCCGATAATTAGGACAGGAATACATTTGATTTGGGATTTTCATGGGACAGGATTTGTCCTAATCAGCGATTATTTTCGCTTTATTAGTGACGATGATGACATCTCCGCGATCGTAGGAGACATGTTGACGATGGCGCTGTGACAACACGACGATGCTGGTGCACCGATCATGGTACTTGTTGGAAATGGTATAATCTATTGGATCGATTAAAGTCATGATGCCATTTTGATACACATTACAAAATTTATTATTACTAAGGCTAATACTGCTTTTCTTCTGGTAATACCTTAAAACCCAACACAGTTTAAATAAACGTTGGTCTGTTTAAATACCTGGTATGGTTAGCTAGCAGTGATTTACAATTAGACTGATGTTTCATAGTGAAACTGTACCAAATATTAAATTTGTTGGTTAACTATACCTGGGTTTTTTACCCATTATTGGTTTTTATAGAACAGTTCCACAACTACTGCAAATTTATTTTGTTTGTCATTATATACTATCTGTAAGAATGTTCAAACAAGATTTTAAACAAACCCTTTTTGACACTGGAAAAAAATCATGTCCCGTCGCATCCCAAAAATCGGAAAGGAAATAAAATTCCTATCTCACCCTGTCCTGATCTTTTAATCACAAGTATTCTTCAGTTCTAGCTGCTTTTCATGTTTAATTAATGCAAATGTTCATGTTACCAGTGTTTTTTTCGGTGCTCAGGATGACTTTTATGCAGTGTTGGCCTAAAGTAAGAGAACAAATTCTCCTACCAACCATAATCTCACCCTCTAGAAGTAAATTTTTGGCTCACGAGTGATCGTCACCAGTTACGAGTCATCGTTGTAGGAAACTCATCACACGCAGTTGGGTTTTCCATACCGAGCATTTCAACATTAGAAAAAGGCTTCCACGAAAACACAATGGTTAAAGTCGAGTTTTGTTTACTCATGAGTATTAATGCTCAAAGATGAAATTTGACTGTTAACAGTTGATTAATATTTTACACTTTTCTGTTGTTATCTCAATAGGATTAGGAAAAAGTTTTCTGTCTAAAAATGTGTTTTGGGATTGGGATCAATGATTTAGAAAAAACATTATTTGAACAGTGGTAATCTGTCAGATGGCAATCATATATTGTAAGAAAGCATAAAATATAATTAAACTTCACTCAAAAAGAGGAAGAGGCATATATGTATTGTTTGAGTAATAAATCATTTAGCTTATCATAAACTTAAATTAAATCAAAATCAAAAAAAATATAGTCATGAAAATCACAAAGTAACTAATTATTATTTATTAATATTTAAATGAGCTTTTGACTTTAACCCTTTGGGGTCGAATTTTCCCCCCCTTTTTTGGTGAGTATAGTTTGCCATTCCAGAAGTCGGGAAAATGGCGCCTGGCGATCTATACTCGCCATTCAACCGCAAAAATTAACTTTTTTTTGAAATTTTTTTTTTAGTAGGTGCCCATAGGTTGTCATTTTTGAGCAGTCGCGAAAATGGCAGGCGGCGACCTATACTCGCCATTCGACCGCAAAAGGTTAAATCTGGATAGCTTATAAGATTTATATGTTCATGTACAGATATCATGGTTATTTCCTTAAAGAAGAGTCAAGTTAGAGTTCTTTTCCACTAGTTTTTCAAGACTTTAGCCAAGCAGGGAAGCAAAAAAATCAACTGACAACATGTTTGCCATGAACTATACTACACAATATAGACTACATACCATACTTCATGACTTGACAAGAACTCGTTTGTACAAACCTATTTTCCATCGAGGTTTAAGAGAAAGATAAAATATTTGTTATGTTTTTATCTACAAACCAATTCTTATCTTGTGTACAAAGTGAACTAAGGCCAGGCGCACACAGGCGATTTTGAGTCGCGCAACAGTTGCCCGACTAAAATGTTCAACATTGTTTTAAATTGGAGTGCGCACACGAAGGAAACAGTCTGGGGACAGTCGCGCAACTGTTGCAACCGATGTTCCTGGACCCAATTTGCCAGCGACTGCTCTGCGACTGAATTGTTGCGGGACTGTCGCTCCAGGTTTGGTATCCATTGAATCAAGTGTAGATGCGCACACATGCAACTAAATTGTCGCTGTGTCGCTCAGTCTCACCCCAGGAGTTCAACTACTCGTGGCCAGAACTGTCACTAGTGTTTGCTCTCTTGTTGTGTGAAGATTTTAGAAAATTACAAGTATGAGTGTGCGTGATGAGGATGTCGAACAATTAATTGATGAAGTTGAGAAGAGGCCGACTATTTAAAGTCATTGAAACTGTCCTTTCACAAGTCGCTCTCTATATATATGAGACGAACCCAGTATCTTTTCTTTTTCTTTCGCGCGCGAAACTTTAGCAACAAAGCACATACTACGGCTGTATCATTGAAATCCATTCGGAACGCTGTAACGAATGTATTTCCAACACGTTCAAGACTAGATCCGCGACTAAAAAGTTGCCTGTGTGCGCACTCCAGCTCAACTGTCGCTAGACTTCAGAGTCTCCGAGAGAGTTGCGCAACAGTCCCCCGATTAGTCGGGCAACTGTTGCGCAACTCAAAATCGCCTGTGTGCGCCTGGCCTAATTGATATTGGAATTTTATCAGCTGTTCACTACTAAAAAAATACTCACCAGAACTGTACGAGTCGTTGGAAGAGGCTGAGAGAGATCTGCTCCGGTAACGACTTGATTTTTTTAAAGCACTTGATGTTTTTGTGTCCTAAAACATTTCAGACAAATATTATTTTTATCACATTCTGATCGAGTTTGAGGAATTGTCGGTGTTTAGCTGCTCTCCTGTTTCTCAGTTGAGTTTTGCTACAGAAAAAGATGCGTAGTATCAATAAGTGGGGTTAGACTCGCCATAACATAGAAAGGTTTGAAACCAGGGCCGTATTCAGAACATACGAGGAGAGCTCACCAAGGAGCTCTATGCTGATTCTTCTGGCCGAAGCCTAGGGGGTTTAGAAATACACATGGTATTGATTTAGCTCAATTAACCCCTTTTGTTTTCAACGATCTGATTGGCAAGTAGACCTAGGAGGAGAGCAAACAAATAGCTCCCACTTTTAAAATAATAATGTTGAGGGTCTGCAAACCTGACTTTTATTTTGAGACTAGTTAAAAATGTTGACCTTTGGAACTCAGGGAAAAACCTAGGTCAAAATAGAGTTGCTTTGGAAAGTATTGAGTTAAAAAAATATAATTCTTATACTATAATTGGTTCAAAACCTTTTGCAATTGCAGCAGTTTTGTGAACACAATACAAAATTTAAAATTAAGTAAATTGTCCTTCGTCCCGTCAAAATCTTAAAACATGTATCGTGATTGAGGAGATTTCATCATTGTCTTCTGCAAACGTAGTGAAATCCTCATTTTAGGATAGTGCAATCTTTACAGACTCTTTTGGCTGTTGCGAGAATAAAGGATGACTCAAAAATCGAACCCCTAAACAGATTATCGGAAAAACTATTTTGCAATAGACAAAAATCCATTGAAGCCCCCGGCAACCGTTGTGTCTGCCGTTAGGGAAATAGGGCCCTGTGTTAAAAGAGTACTACTTAGTCATATGGTTAAAATCGGTACAGTGAAACCCCTATAGTATGGAATAATTGGGTATCTATTTTATTTATTTCAGTAAAATCCTAAATAAACCACCTTTTACATATTCTGAGTTTTATTTCAACTTAAAGCTAACTACTGAACTGCAGTAAAAATTGTCATATTATGATAAAACATTATTACTAAAACGTCTACAGTTTTAGCAGACTGCCTTTCAAAACTTTAACATGAATTACAAGAGAATCTATACTTATTTAATACGCAAGCAGGATTTTTGTGACAATTACTCCTCCGAAACTACTGAACCGATTTACATGTTCTTGGTGTCATTGGAAAGAGCATACCGTGAAGTTGTGCAGGAAACTTTCTTTTCAGGGAAATAATTAGAGGGTGAGACCCTGGGGCCCTTTACAGTTTTGTATTTCTCCATAAGATTAACATGGGAAACAAATATTGTTATGAAACTCCAGCTGTTGTCAGAAATTAAAAGTGAGAAGAAGGACATATGTTAATTGTAAACACAGTCAATAAGTTTGCTAATTTAACGGTTAGTTTGCTACAAACATTTACTTACTTGGTTGAAATGAAGTAGTTACTATTTGAATTTGGGTTGGCGTAAATATTACAATGGAAAAAACGAGAGAGCCTGGATAAATGGTTATACTAAAAATAAAACTGAATTAACACACTGTGCTGCATTTCTTAGTAATCATTGAAAGAACCGATTTGCAAACTATGGAAACATAAAAAAGTCATAAAACACCACCAAGGAGAAGAAATAGAAATAATGTGTGTTTTTTTTATATATGATCGTTATTATGGACAACCTAATGCGGCTATGAGTAAGGATATGTAGAAAACACTAAAAAAATCTGCTTTTGAAAAATGATAAGATATTTTTACAAAAAATGTTGATTATATCGATCTGTTGTGTACATCTTGAGTATTCCATAATCTTTGAGTCGAAAGTCATCAAAAATTATTACTGTTATTTGTTTTAAAATAACGCCTGTAATACTTAGAAATTGCTCGATTTTGAGCAACAGGGACACTAGTGTAATATAATTTTAAAATCTTTCCATCCTCAACTATATATATTACAAACCAATCTCGTCGTTTTTATAATTTACTGTTCAACTTTATAAACATTAACTTTTGAATTCGTTAACTGTTCTTACACTCTTCATTTTAAATTTTTGTACATCTTACTTTAAGCGTTTCAGTTTATATAATTCATATTCAATTTTGTGAATGAATGGATTCTCAACTAAACTTTGACTACCAAACTCAACACTTTGACCCGAACAATTTAAACAATTCCTACAGACCTAGTTATGATGGTTAGTGTTGGGTACATACCATACTGAAGTACCATCAGAGAGGTAGAGTTTAACTAGTTCACGTAGTTCAGCCAGCTTATACACTTACGCAACTATCTCCGCTTTGTTTACAGACGGTTATTGTTTGCCGCTGTATTTAATTATTATAGAGATAACTAACGAGTAGAGCAGCGGTTAAGGCTTGGCCTCATTGTGCTTTGTTCAATCTATTCCAGCACAATATTTAATTAGTACTTAAACTGTTAACATGATTAAGCTAACGATAAAGGTAAATGAGTTTTTAATAGTTTTGAGTTAACAGCTTTCTAGAATATTATCCTACACAGTTAGACAATTTTTGTTATTTACCTTTCTAACATTTAAAAATGAAATGAAAAGTTTCTTCTTGTTATAAAAAGGGTTTAATGTGTATAAGTGACTTTGGAAAACCTGTGCTTTGTTACATAAAAAAAATAGAACACTAAACATAAATTCATCATTAAATGAATAAAACCTCTAAATTAACATTTGATACAGCATGAAAACAACAGAACAACAAAATTACCACATGAATAAACATACAAAAAATGACTGAGTTTATCTTTTTTATTTCTGCAACATAGAAATTTGTCATAAAGTGAAAAAATTTTCAAAAACCCTGTCCAATAAAATATTTAAAGATATCTTCTAATAGATCTCAGGGACAGCAAAGTAAAGATAGGAGACAGGGAAGAGGTGAAGATGAGAGTTTCCGAGTTAAATATTTCAAATAAATTAACCTTTCAAGTACTTGAACGCCACTTGAATAGATTCATCAAAGTTAAAATCTCCGTCACAACAAACCCTAGAGTTGATGAAGGATCATGCTTGGATTCATCTGAAATGAAAAGTTTTTCCACTGACCATGGAAACTTATTAGTTGCAAATTTATCTACAAGGAGTTTTATACTATAAACTTAATACAAATTAACTGACAGTACTTATACTGTTGATATTTCTGTGAGATCAATGTGACCAACAACTATAAATAATACATTATTGCACAGTATTAATGTATGCAGTTCTACAGCTAAAATGTATTGAAATGACTCCCATGAACATTTAGTAAGGTACAAAATGCTAACAACTATCAATACACAATAGACACCATTTTAAAGTCAGTACAATATGGTACATTGAACAGTGTAATTCATAACACAGGGTATTCAATTTTGAAAATATCATCCATTTATTTGGGAAATCCCTATTAAATAGCAGATATTACTTTTGTACTAGATTACTATATTTTGAAAATGAGCAATGACGACAATGTAGTGATTTAAGATGCTATTTAATGATACTTACTAATCAACAGATCAACAAAAAAACATAGATTAAACTGTACCCTAAGGAATTTACAAACTGGCACAATAATACATTTGATAAAATTAATATATAAACTTTAACTCTATTCACTCTCCTAAATTAATGACCAATTATATAACATCTTCAGTCCATCCTACACTACGTGGATTATTCACCGCAAAATAAAGTATTTTTAGACGAGTAACCTTTTTTGCAATGTTAAACAAAACAGGGGACTGTTCCCACACACTGCTATCTTCTTTATAAAGCTAATAAAGATCAAGAAATTATGAGGAAACCGTAAGGCGCACACCTATTAACCGCATACTTGAATGAAAGCGCTTGATAGGAAAATTTGTTATAAAATATCCTTTCAGTTTTTTTATAAATCCTTTCCTGAGGACACAAACTCAATTAATGAGTTTTATTAAATTACATTAAAGAAAATGCATCAGCTGTTTTTATTTATAGTTTGTTAATCATTTGATTCTCATTATAAATATTCAAATTATGATAAAGTTAGTTTGGATTCTGTCACACAATTTAATGCAAATAAACAAGAGATTTTTATCGAAATAAGCGATAAGTTAAGTACGATTGAGATTTGCCTGTATAATCCATGGTTAGTGTGCAACTGTTTCTAAAGATTTCGAGACCACATTATTCTTTTAAGTATTCTTGCTCCATTGGGAAGCACGGGCAGAGCAACTAGTTGGTAAAACGAGTTGAATAACCCTCCTACACTATTGACACTCTCTATTACAAGGAGTGTTAGATAAATTAACCTCTTGCTATAACCAAGGTTACTTTAGCCGCTCGGCTGAACCCACCAGATCTGACCAAATAAAACTGGAACTAACTAAAGTGGACGTGATTCTAGCAACTAAACAATGCAAGGGAAAAACTTCCAAATCTTCTCACTTAGCTTGTTTTTCATTACAATTAATTTGGATAGCCTAAATAGATATAACTATTGGAAATAAATTACATCAAATTATTGTCCAACTGGCTTTAATTTAATATTCATTACCAATATGTATTCTAGTCCCACAAGTACACATCCAAACTCCAGGAAATGGTTGTATGGTTCAAAATAAAATGAAAATCAAGATTAACAATTTTAAAAAACGTCTCATTAGCGCATATGGTATATGGTCTACCGTTGTTTTTAGAATTAAAATGTATATCTCTAAAACGATTACATATATATTTATGAAATTTGGTATACGATTTAAAGTAGGAAATCGTATTTTGAATTCTGGATTTGAGAAAAAAATAATCATACAAAAATAATTTTTGGTTTTGAAATGGCTGCCATTTTAGTTTTTATAACTTAAATACCGAAACAATGACTAATTTTATGAAAAAATGTCTAGACTTTTTTAGCATTTAACATGTCCTATCAAACAATACCAAATTATTCTTGTCTGATTTTGATGAAATTTGGTTTAAAGGTGTAATGCGGGATAAGCTTGAATGAGTTCGCTAACCAGCA